AAACAGCTCTGATGCTGCTCCAGGCCAGGTTTTGTTCTGATTCTTCTTCTTCTTCTCCACTAAAAGTGTTTTGGCAGCAAAACCTGCTGGATAATTAGCACGTAGGTTTCAAATTCCACCCACTACTCTGAATGACAATCATAGACCTCATGGTGGCGCTATAACAATCAACTTTGCTTTTTGCAATTATCTCAAAACGGCTTCGTTTAGAGTTGAAGTTCTTTCATCATTGTAATCTCTGGATTCAGCTGCATCTTTGCTCCGAAGCTCTTCTGCTCTAAAAATGTCAAATTATACGACTTTATATCTCTTTTCTCTAAAACCTATTTTTGAAAACTCATCCCAGACTGTTTCGCCAATCGACCTGAAACTTTGGCGGGATCATCTGCAGACATCGCTGATCAAAAGTTATCAAAATGACTGCACAAAGTGGGCGTGGCTTATTACAAGATTTGTAGATTTCTAGACATATCCTCATTCCTAACTTCAAAAAATCTAAGAAAATCATCCGTACGTCCTCGAGAGCTGAATCCACTGATATGTGATCTATGGTCACTCTGTATTTTTCACAATATGCTAATTTATTTAAAATCTACATCTCCACAAGTCTTTCTTCAAACGCTACCAAACTCGACAGAGTCGTTCTCCAGATGGCCAATATCAAGTGTTCCATAGACGTCACCCTGGAGACCTCAGCCCTCATAGGGGGCTGCCAGGACCGCGGCGTCTCTCGCTGTGACTCGCTGTCTCAAAGACGCCTTGCTTTGGCGGTCCGGGACAGAGCGCCACGGGCTTCAGAGGCAGCTGGATGAGAGGTTAGTACTCCACCGTCCCCCTTCAGAAGTTATTCCCCTCTGTTTGTCATCACTCGTCGATACGAGCGGCATGGCGTCGAACACGCTGACCTGAAGCTCCATGTGCAGCCGGGTCGGGTTCTGTAGGACGGGCAGCTGCTGCTGGCTGTTTCTCTCCTGTCAGCCCGATCAGCTGTGTCAGGATAAAGTGACCTGCTGAGCCTTTAAGAAAGATTTCCAGCGCTCTGTTTCCCTCTGCGTGATGAACTCCAGGCTGCAGGATGAAGTTTACAGGGAATCAACTGACGCAACTGTGATGAGGAGGAGGAGGAGGAGGAGGAGGAGGAAGATGAAGAGGAGGGGGGAGTCGTCGTCTCCTGGATTAGAAATCCGGCTGGTTAAATTCGGAGGGAGTATTTTTAGCTCCCCCCTCTCTAACTGCCCCCCCCCCCCCCCTCCTCTCAGAGGCATTAATTACAGCCGTCCGCTCAGACTAATAATACCCTCTCTACTGCTGCTGTTAGGGGGGGGGGGGGTCCCATCCCGAAACATCATCATCATCATCATCAGCAGCATCATCATGGGGCTTTTCAGTGTCACCTTCTCACAAGATGTTCTGTCCTCACCTGTTTACAGCAGGAGATACTTGCTTCTGATTGGCTGTTTAACAGCAGCTATTGGCGGCTTCCTGTTGGTTCTGGTCTCGTGCTGAGTTTCCCACCTGATGGACCAGCTGCTCCTCATCAGTAACCCCTCTGTGCCCGTCCTGGTGACTCAGCTGCTCTCACTGACCTGCTGATTTCCAACCAAACCTGTTTTGCTTCTCAGTCTGAAGAGGAGGAGGAGGAGGAGGAAGGAGGAAGAACCCTCACACGTTCTCTTTCTTTCTGTCGCTCTGAGGATCTGGTTCTGGATCATATTTGTAGATCTGATGTGTGTAGTTTTGCTGCCGCCTGCTGGCCTCCTGCAGCTCCACAGCCTCGTCCTCCTTCATGAGGAACCACAGAAACATTGGACTTTAGGAGAGACTGTGTTTCTGTTGTATGACATAATAAAACATCATTTTTGGTTGAACTGAGTTCAGCCTCATTAAAATGATTTGGTCGTATTATTTACAATGACTGAAAGTTTAAATTTAGATTTTACTTGAATGAATGAATCTCTATTTCCTGTCTCTTGTATTATTGTTGTTACCTTTGGCTTGATTCTGATCCGCCATTCATTTGTTATTTAAATCCTCATTAATATTTGATCATGTATTGATTCTCACTTGCTGCAGAGTGAAGCTCTTTGTTACCGGGGATTTAAAAAGTGCTGTAAAAGGGAATATTAATTAATTAAATCATTACATTTAACCCCCAGACAAGGCAGGTTTATTTGTACAGCACATTTCAGCAATTAAAATTATCGTTAAAACATAAAACATAAAAGAAACATTAAAAATATTAAAAAAGACATTTAAATACAAACTTTAAAAGAGTAAAATAGAAAATAAAAACAAATGGTTTTGTAGAATATTAATATATTATTAATCGTACTGTCCTCTGCAAAGGATTTAGGCAGCTGTAGAAAAAATAAGAGTGTTCATAGACACATTTATAGATTCTATTTATCAATAACAAAATGCAAAGTCTGAAATTCTAGATCAGATCAGGATCTGATGTGACCCCCCCCCCCTTCAGGTCTTCAATCAGGTCTTCAAATCAGGTCTTGTAGGTTCCCCTGCTCGTAGTCTCTGAAGGACTCTGCAGGCGGGTCCGAACCTCTGAGAGGACTCACAGCTCGTCTGTGGATTCAGGCGGCTGCTTCTTGTTCTTCTTTAAGCTGAAGATGGTTCTTAATGACTCTCACTGTCTGTTTGGGCTCGATGTCACGTTGCAGAATAAATCTAGGGGCCAATCGGATGCCTCCCTGATGGAACTGCATGATGGGTAAGTATCTTCCTGTCCTTCTCAGCACTGAGGAGACCTTTCATTCTGACCAGAGCCCAAACCCACACCTGCTGGGACCCTCCGCCATGCTTCATGTTGCCTGCAGACGCTCACTGTCGTAGCGCTCTCCAGCCCTGCGGCGAACAACCCGCCTTCTGCTGCAGCCAGATATTTCCAGATTTTGATTTTACAGCATTCTTTCCACACCAGAAACTTTTGCACAGTGGTGTTTTCTTTTTACTGAATAAACATTTGGAGCCTTTAAGTAAAGTGTAGCTGATCTAAATGTATTACGTATCATTTCTGAGCTTCATTGTTCTCTTCTTTCCCTTTTCCCTGCACGGTTTATCACAGTGTCATATTCGTGTAAACTTTCACTCACATTTTCACTTTTTCTACCAGCAGACTTTTGGGTTTGAGTCCAAACTTCAGCAGAGTTTCTTTCCCTCCTGTTTATTGTTCAGATGAAACTTTAAAGATCCCTGTGGGGAACCAGCTCAGACTGACACTCACAAACAAGCTGCTGCTGAGTCTGTGGAAGCTTCAGAGATGTGGACGAGGCCAACACGTTTAAATTTTAATCAGTGAAGTCCAGCTCATGAGGGAGCCTGAAGCCGAGAGGAGGAAAACTGGAGGTCAGTATTAAAACACCGGCCTCAATCATCTGCTTAATGGCGGCTTCGCCTCACGGCCACAGATGAGAGGAAGTCGTTACAGGCACATTAAGAAGAGCTTTAATGGGAAAGAGAAATAAATATGTTAGGAATGATTTTACACTAAATGTGGAGAAATGATTCAGGAAGCTGAAAACAACCAATGAAACACCTCAAATTCATTTTTTATGTGCTGTTGACAGGAGACACGTTACATGACACGTAATATATAGATGCAAACCAATTTCACACACTGTGGTACTCAGAACTCACGGAAAGCTTACATCATCATTTATGCACATGTGACTGCAACTAAGGGAGAATCTGGGTATGTTGCAAATGTATGGAAAACCCGTTCTCACCAGTACACATTTATCGAGCAGCGACCTCTAGTGGCCGTTGGACGGTGGCACAGGAGGAAGTCAAGTGACGTATTATAAATAGGTAGTAAGCCCTGGACTTTCACTCAGGAGAACGGCATTCGAGTCCCATGTGACACCAAGTAAATGTTGGGTTATAACTTAAAAGCTTTACTGACTTGTTTTAACCCAAACTACGTTTTCCTCAACTTAGTTTTTATTGCCTAAACCAAACTGCGACCGCTTCACAACGTTATCCACGTGTTAAATGTCACGTGACTGACGTAACGTAGGAAATGCTGGATAAATGACTGTTGTTGTCATTTAGGTTGTTGCCCATAGAAAACATTGATGCATACTGTGTATATTTATAAATGTACACATACTGCAACTAAAGGACAGCATGTATAACAGATTTGTGTGTCACGTTTATCACAAATCTATCTGCCTACACAACTCAACTGTAGTGTTTATCACATATGTTACATACTAATATAATCACAATTCAAGGAGAGCGTAAACGCAAACGTGTTGCAAATATCGTCTGTACATAACTGCAGTTCAAGAAGATTTCAGAATATCACAGCTGCTAAGGCTCCAAAGGCCAGTTTATATTTCTGCATTGAGGCCATTCTGTAGCTGACGGTATTTATACTTGTGCGTCGCTCTGCAGTTACACCACAAAAACCTGTTGCCGGGGTGGTTTCTGTGTTCTTCTGTGTTGAGCTTCTTGTTCTGCGTTGGTGTAGGCTGCTACAAACGGCTGAACTGATGGATGCTGAACAACAGTTACTTTTAGTGAAATTACTAAAACGCAGAAATGAGAGGTGGTGTCGGAGGAGATGTTGTGTCCGGCTGAGGCAGAAGAAGGACAAGCCGGAAATGTGACGCAACCAAACCGACCAATCACACTTCTTGTGTGGTTTGTTGTGACGTTTCTGGGAAGGTGGGCGTCAGGCTTTGGCGTAGAGTCGACACAGAAGTATGAATTGGCCCTAAGAACAGATCAATCATCGGGATGTAGTTTTATGGATGCACCTTTATGCACAGCGTCTTTCCAAATGGTCGTCATTGCTCCCACTGGCAGGCGGGGTGGCGGCGAGGATGGGGGGGTTGGGGTGTGGATGGAGGATCGGTTCTTGTCATATCAAGTTTGTGGACCGGTACAGGGTCAGGGCCCAGCTGTTGAAAGTCTCTGCTCAGGAGGACAGAAGCTGCTCCAGTTTCATTTAAATCTCTTAATTAACAAACATCAGCAGCGACTTTGTGGCAAGTTAGCGAATATACTTTATTATGCCTGCACAATCTTGCCAGATTGAAGGTTAACATATCAAACAATTTACTTCATTCATCCAGTTTTGATACATACAAAATCACTATAAAATGTCACTCTGTAATACTGTGTCATCGCAACATCACCATTCACAAAACACACTGATTGCTTCACTGCACTTCTTCCTGTGGTAAAAAAAGAAAATCTGAATCATCACGTCTGTCTCTGAACAACTAATTCAGGAAAGAAGATCAGCCTCATCGCTTTCTCTACAATAAGACCATTTTCTGTCAAAGAAAATAAAATGAGGGGGGAAAAGAGAATAAATAAAGTCCCAGCACAGCTCGTCCTGATCCTTCAGCTTTCTGCAGCTCGGTGGGGAGACGCCATTACAACACAGGTTTAACCAGACATCATGAAACAAGTTGTACAATCAGACTTTGAGATGTAAGAACAAAAAACTGGGGCATCTACACATTCCTGCATCCACAGTTTTTCAGATAAATCCAGAAACATCCTGAAGAAATCGTGATCGTACAAAGATCTGCTAAGTGGTTTTGTCCAAATGCTGTCCTTCACTGAACCGAGTCAATAAGAGTAGCCTGAGGTCCCCAAGGTGATTTCATTTTATCGTGGGCGAGCAAGACACTCAGACAGGATACTTCAGGGTACAGTTTAGGTTAAATATAAGTTAAAAGTTGTGCACACAAGATCCTTTTTAGATGTTATTTGTAGGCACATGTTAAAGTCTTGTTTGACCTCAGTAGTATCTTGTGCTTAAAGGATAATATCTTGATAACATCTTCTGATATTACTGTTGGACTGTGTGATTCTACCTTCCAAGGTCAGCACTGTGAAGTTGAAGTGATATAAATTCTAAAGTAAACAGAGTTTTTCCAAGAGACACCAGAAAGAGACTGAAAACAGGAAGTGAAAAGTCTTTGTGTGGTCAGTGCATCAGGGTGAGGAGGGTGAGGAGGGTGCAGGAGGGTGGAGGAGGGTGAGGAGGGTGAGGGGCTGCAGCGGAGGGACGACATAGAGATGAAGAGTTCAGGTTTAAGGGACGGTGACGTGGAAGGGACTGCCGGGGACGTTCTCGTCGCCCCATTTGACGATGAGGATGTAGCTGCCTTGTTCTTTGACTGTATACGTGACGTTGTACATCCGGTTGCCCATGTGTTTGACGTAGACCTCCTCGCAGGGCGTCTTTGGCCCGTGAACGCCCACCATCAACATGTTGGTGCCTGCAGACACAGAAGTCAGTTTTTATTTCCAGGATGGACGACCACTCATTCCTGTTGTGTTGTTACTCACCTGCTTTGCTGCAGTCCACTGTGAACGTGTTCTTCTGACCTACGAAGGCCTTCGACAGGCCGGCGCCTCTGGAGATGACTTTACTGGCGTCTGAGGAGAATTTGGGTAAGGAGGCGAAGGCCCCTCCCATCGCTGATGACTTGGTGACAGTTTCCACGAGAACAGACGATGTCTCATGCAGACTGTGGCCCCCGGACAGACGAGGTCCTGCAGAGAGTCAAAGACACATCAGCTAATCTGATTCAGATCTCGAAAGAATAATGAGAGACCTTCTCATGAGGGGATCGCCTGCCTCAGCTCATTGCTTACAGGTGTGACAACACCCTTTTATTTCAGACTGTAGCTATGGGCCACTGGATAAGACTGACTTTCTCCCGCCCACCACACAACACATTTTGGTTTTGGTTTAGGCTAAATTAAATGACACATTTTCCTTTGCTTGGTCACCAGAAGTATAAGATTCATGAGCCAAAAAAGTGTCAAGGACCAACAACACCTGTGGCTGGCCACACCACCGCCACACACTGAAGCATATAGTGTGTAAAAGGTTTTGTCCTCAGTTGCGACAGTCACTTCCAAACGGCCTCAGGGAGCAACTTTAGAATTTATACTGGACTCTGGAGGGAGCCACAGTATTTTTCCATTTTGGGTTATGCCCCTTCATTCCAATGAAGGGAAACTCCAGTGAGGACCGGCCTAATTCAAACACTGACCACATCAATCAAAAAACCCCACTACGCCCTGCCGTCCATGGACCCACCTGAGACTTTGGCCTTGAAGGGGCTGCCTACGATGTGCTGGGGTCCGCCATACTTGATGGAGATCAGGTAGTGTCCAGGAGCCATAGGTGTATAGGAGACCTTGTAGCCCTCAGGACACTCCTGACAGTCCATCTTGACCTTCGACGGTCCATCGATGGTCACAGCCAGAGCCCCTGAGCCAGCATTACACGTGTTCACAACAAACTCTGACGCCACGCCTGAAGGAGGACACAGATGTGACAGCACCCATTAACATCTACTTCATGTTTTTATTAAGAGCTTTGAAATTAAGGTGCTTTTAAGGTGGTTATTTTGACCTGTGGTTCCTCCCTCCAATCCTGGTCCGAAAGCAGACACCATGCCGGGATCTCCAACCTGTCCTGGTTCTCCCACTCTGATCTTGAAGGGACTGCCGGGAACATGGCTGCCGTTGAAACGAACGTCGATGGAATGAACTCCATTTTCCCTCGGGATGAACCTGATGGCATGCTGGTCTGTGGAAACGCATGGAGAACAAATAACTGATTCTGGGTTCTGACTGTCTGACTGACTTTAAGGGGAATACATGAAAGTTGTGAACGAACACTTTAACCCTACAGTACTCCATGTGAATGTTTAAGTTCTTATCTACTTTAGTCCCATCCTGTTACTGAGGCTGGTACTACTGCCGTGTTTTTACATAAAATCCTTCCACTTTACAGTTTTACAGTTACAGTTTTTAAGTGGTACAGCAGATTTAAGCCTTATGATATCCATGTTAAATGTTAACGCTTGTTACTTTTACAAACCCAGCCCTTTAATTATGACCTTCAGTGATGAAGTGTTGCTCTTACCGCTGTCCAGCTCAGTGATGTAGCACTCCTCTATGGCTCCGGATGGTGTGTGGATCTTAGCATCGATCAGCCCTCTGGCTCCATTCAGCTGGACAGCAAAGGAGGCCTCCTGCCCAACTTTTAGGGCCACCTCCTGAGAAAGAGCAGATGAAGAAATAGGAAATGGGGAGCAGGTATTTGTCCTTTAGCTTTACTGTATGCTGTAGCTGACATTAATTGAGGCCGTTTGAGTGAAAATGTTTTTGGTGTTCTACTTCTTCCAACCACACAAGGTCAGATCATGTATAATAAATTGGACAAACTGTCTTTAAATTTAAATACATGTAATTCCCTGATTTTACATTTTCGCCGTCTTTCTCCTTGTGTCTTTTCGAGCATTGTTATGCTGTGTCTGTTAGCATCCATCTAATTTTTTACATGTATCCGTATATACAATTTTATCATGTTTGTTTCATGATAAATAAAACAAAATATTTTCATCATGTAATTTTTTTTCATAAGCTCATTTGGAGTTTTTCTTTATCATTTTAAATCAATTAATGTATTATGTGTTTTGCCTAAACTCAATATTTTGAGAACATTGAAATGTTGCTGATACTAAAGTTAAGAAGGTTCATTGTGTGTGAATGAACAGAAATATACCGGCTCAGTATTCAGCAGACAGACATTAATAATCAATCTTCTTATAGCAATCAAAATGTCTCTTTTAACATAGCTAATGAGACATCAGAAGGTTTAACATAGAGACTCTTCAAGATGTCTGTGGCCTCAGCTGGCTTTGTAGAAACCGTTTTATTGAACTTTTTGATGTTTAGATGACCTGTTCTTACCTGCAGGCTGGTGATGGTGAGGCGGCGAGCGTCATCAGACAGAGTGGCAATGGGGACGATGAATGGAGAGTCTGGGATGTGTTCATCGTTGAACTTAATGGAAACCTCGTAGTCACCTGGAGAGAAGAAATAACAGCAAAGGGCCAACTGAGAATATAACAGCTTTTTACATCATTATTATGTTGCGTTCATATGTCAGGAGTCTCCTGTATAACTGTGGTGTCCCCCAGGGGCCCCATATTGTTTTCAATATGTTCCAATCCAACAATTTACTAATAAAGTGGTGGTTAAAATGTAAAACCCTGCCTATATATGTTGTTTAAAACCTCTTTGATTATTGGCATGGTTGCACTCCAACTGACCTCAATATTAAACAGGGAAGACAACCCAAACTACTAAAATAAGAACCACGTAATTTAAGAGGGTCTATGTTTGACCTGATTTAGTTAAAGAACGTTCTGGGTCACCTAAAGATGTCAGATCATCACTGCTGTATAGAGTTGCGTATCATCTGCATAGCAATTCACATTAGCATTGTGCGTAACCTTTAACAGTAACATAAAAATGAAAAATTATTGGGCCCAGGATTAAGCCTTGTGGTACATCTAACGTTAACTCTTAGTGGGACACATTTGTCTTCTGAAGGCCAAACTTGTAACTATTTTAACATCAAACCTCTGATACAGGGATCTTGATTTCCTTCTCTGTTTGTCAGTTTTAGGGATGAAACCTGATCTAGAGTCTGTTAGAGTCTCACCAGGCTCCTGAACTACGTAGATGACGCCACAGGATCCGTCCTTCCTGTCTTCAAAGGTGATCTCGGCCTTGCTCGGTCCCTCCACAGCGATTGACAGACCTCCAGCTCCGGCCTCTCTGGTCCAGATACTGAACTCAGCTGAACAACAAACACAAACTTGACTTATCAGCAACAGGAAAGAGGAGGAAGAAGAAAATGCAGAAAAAAGAAAAAGAGAAGAAGAATGCCCTGCTCACCTGGGATCCCTGCCACTCCTCGGTCCAGCCCCGTCCCCCCTGCCCGGACCTTGTGGGCCCCTCCCTCTCCCAGTGGCCCCACAGTGAATTGGAAGGGGCTCCCGGGGACGTGTTGGCCACGATATTTAACGTTAACAGTGTGAGCTCCCATCTCCTGAGGTATGAAGCGGACGCTGTAGGTGCTGTCATCTCCTTTAATGATCTCTGCGTCCTCCGTCTTTCCTCCAGGACTCGTCACCTGAGCTGTCATCTCCTGCTTACTTGCCTCACCTGAGAGTGAGGGAGGAGGAGGGGGAGGAGGGGAGGAAGGTGGAGGGAAAGGGGGACATGGATCAGATAACTTTTTCTGCTGGATTCAAACCTTTTCTGGATAGTGGACCCTTTTTTTCATCTCAAATGTAGTGCCCAATGCTGCAGAGACCCTAAAGCTCAAATTCTCTTTCCACACCTGCACTCTAGATATAGATGGTCTCTGATCTGGTATCTGCACCAGATCATTTATACAGAATGGGAACGTGTTTGTAAGATCCTGCTAGAATGTCAGACTTTATATGAAAATAAATGTTATAAATAATTAAACGCCCCTGCTTTCTGCACACAGCACAACAATCAGATTCTTGTAGTGTCAACATGAACAACCTAAAATAAAAACATGTTTGTCCTTACATCAATGTAACCCCCAAAACCTAAACTGTACCCAAAATATTTCCACTAAATTCCAAGGTTAATAATGTAGGTGTTGTATGGTACTGTAAAATGTATACTACTGAGATGAAAAACATCTTATTTGTAGCATCCGATAACATTTTGTATTTTTCCACATTGGTTCAGTTAAATGAGCCAATAACTTCTGCTGTTATGGAAAAATACAAACAATAGCAATCACCTAATTAACATTCACCACTTAATTAACAGTTATTTCACACTTTTGTAACAGTAAATGAACAACTAATAGTCAGTTTAACAGTTTCAATAAATACAGTTAATCAACATCATACCGATGAGTCAATCAAACATTATTATACTGAAGAGTCTTAGAACCAGCCGAAGGTTTTTGAAAAAGAAAGACTCACTTTTACGTGATTCAAAAAGTGAACGTCTGACATGTAGGACCTAAAATTCAGAAGTGTCGTTGTGAGTGTGTTACAGTGACCCAGGTTTCACAACCCCTCACATGCAAAGTCAGGTTATTAACAGTTATTATTTATTAGTTCATTGGATGTTTCCACAGCAGTTCCAGATTATTACCAACCTACAGTGAGACGCATGCACACACACCACAAACCTGCCTCAGTATCAATAAAGTTAGAAACAGTTTGAACACACACTTGTCCACACACACACACCGTCCTGCAGCGGCGGCCGGCTGCCGGTCGGCATCCCGTTGAATCCGCTCAGACTCTCTCGTCCCAGGAAGTCTCCGAACACGTCTCTGAACGGCTCTCCTCCCACCTGAGTGCTCTCCTCCACACGGACCTCCCTCTTCGTCTCTCCTGCTCGAGTCTTACTGATCTCCGTACGCTCGGTCCGAGTGTAGGTGTGACTGCTGCGGGTGAACGTCCGGGTCAGGCGCTCCTGAGCCGAAACCATGTGGAACCAATTCCCTAAAACCAGCAGGGAGGAAGGAGTACAACGAGGGACAAGGAGAAGGAGGTGAAGAGGAGGAAGCAGAGGGGACAGGCAGAGACAGGTGGAGGAGACGGTGATGTCACAGCTCACCTGGTATTTTGAGGTTGAGGTCACAGGTGCTGCCCACAGTAGCGATGGAGGGAGCCTGACGTTTCCGGGTGATGCTCTCCTTCATCCTGCCGTCACCAAACACCTTCACCGTGAACGGACTTCCTGTTCACACAAAATGTAACAACGGTTCATTTAAACTTAAACCAGGAAAATTCACATACAATATAAAACAAAATAAAATAAAATGCATGAATCACATGGTTAAAATTTGAAAATCAAACTGTAAAATCACCAAATTCTGTGGAAATATGTTTTAAATAAAAGGATAATGAACAATGCCTTTCAAATGATTACAATAAAATAAAACACAGGGCCTCCTGGGAAAATCAGAAGTCTGTCGAGGTGCTTTGTTTTATATTGATCGACAATGAATACGTTTTTAAAACCAATGGCTGCCTAGAAAGTTGGGATTAAGGATCATTTTTTTAAACAATCAAAACTGTGCTGAAAACTACACAATACTTTGGGAAATGACTGCAGTGAAATAAAGTCTCAATGATCAGACTGCAGCTGGGTTCGTACCTGGGACGTGTTGGTCGGCGAACTTGATGTTGATGATGTAGTTTCCAGGTTCAGTTGGACAGTAAGTGACTTTACACGTCCCGTCCTCCACGTCCTCACAGTTAATGTCCACTTTACTGGGACCCTCGATGGACAGACCCAGACCTCCGTAACCTGAGACCAGAGAGGATGATGAGGGGGGGAAGGTGGTGGACTTCAAATAACAAAACTCCTTTCATCAAACTAAAAGAAACTTGATGTTTTATTCTGACTGATGATTCTTTTGCTGTTTCAAAGGTTAAAAAGCCAAAACGGACCAACAGTCCTTGAAGTTTCACAGAAAATGGATGGTACCTTCATCTTTAGCTCCATCTGCTGAGGAAGACAATGTGATCGCATAAAAAGTTCTACATGACTAACCTGTTGAAACGAAGGTGTTCTTCTTACCTGCACTCCTGGTGTCAACGATGAATTCGGCCACTTCGAAGGTGTGTCCCTCCACCAGCCCCTGGCCGTAAACCTTCACCTTGCTGGCGTCTCCAATCTCCGACTGACCCACCATGATCTTGAACGGACTGTTGGTCACGTGTTTCCCGTTCTTCTTCACGCTCACCACGTGTTCGCCCACTTCCTTTGGTGTAAACGAGATCCCTGCAGGCCGGAGGAACATTATCAGATGCACGAAACACATTTCTGAAGAGCTCTTTCCATTTTTCTCAGATCCATGTTCTTTAGGTTGTGCGACTGGTTTTATTTCTGGTTTGCAACCTCTACTTCTTGTTTATCACAACTGATGTAACTATACTTTGTGTAGCCAATTTTATTCACTCCAAACCAGCTGATGGAAACTCGCCTAATTCACAATTTCTATTTTTTCAAAAGTTCACTTAAAATTCGCTTGATAATTAGATTGAAACATGGCTACTGTAAGTCTCAAGTCAAATTCAAGTGCTAAACTTTACATTTCAAGTCCTAAAAAAGAAGTCTTTCTTATTAGGAGCAACAAATTTTACTGCTGGCTTGCAGTCACTGACAGACAGACGTGGATGCTTCCTGGATTGTGATCACATTTCATGTAGGAAAAGTTTAGCTAACTGCCTGCTTTAAGTTATAACTGGATTAAGAACATTAATGTTAACTCAAGTTAGCATTCTTTGAACAACGTCAACTATTGAACAAAGTTGTTACTTGGAGGCTTTATATCTGATTGTGATAATCTGTCAGCTAGTCCGATGAAATGTGGCTCAGACCTTCATGTTCCCCTCAAGTTGAACTGTAATAACTTTGGTGATCATCTGGCTCTTCTAGAGGTCAACATGTTGATGTTTAAATCATATTTGCTAACAGGCAAAACTAAAACGTGTCAGCCTCACATATCCTCTTGAGGCTTGGGGAGGATATCGAGTCATTTCAAGTGTAACATCCAAGTGTAGTCACATATTTTTGGATTTTGTCATATCATCAGAATTGTGACCCAAGTTACTGAGTCTGTCCTCTGCAGGTTGTATCGCCTCGATCATCTCAAGTGCTTTCTTTAAAACACATCCTCATATTTTGTCCTTTAGTCTTATTTAAGCCGATACTGATTATTGTTGCTGAGGTAATCTCTGTCACTGAACAACAGAAACATGGAGTGCCTTATACAAGAGTTCCTTTGCCTATTTATCAGTCAATTTCAAACAGAACAGGGTTTTGTAAGCTATTGCCAGAGACCCCTTAAAGATGTCACATTACACATAGACAGAAACACATTTCCTCAGCTGGAAACTGACCAATGTGTCTGTTGGGCAACCTCTTCAGCAGACATGGCTCCTCGTTCCCAGATGGCGCTCTGATGCTCGCCATCAGACTGCTCAGGTCTGTCTCTGTGATTTTTAAGGAAACGTCTGTTGCTGTGCCGACATTCAGCTGAGACGTCCTCATGGACTCATCACCTGGAGATAAGTCAAGTCAAATCAACTCAAGTAAGAAACAGACTGCAGATGTTTTTAATGGGCATCACAGGAAGATAAAAGAATGTCGTCTGCATAAAGTGAAATAAAATGCAAAGACACAGAGACACACACAGAGTTTTAGTACCAGTGATCTTGGCGGTGAAGGGGCTGCCGGCGATGTGTTTGTCATCAAACTTGACGATGATGTTGTAGTCTCCAGGTGCGGTGGGCAGGTAGGACACAGTACAGGTCCCGTCTTTGTTGTCTTTACAGCTGATCTCTGCTTTAGACGGACCCTCAACAGCCAGAGACAGACCACCTGCAGAGAGAGATGAAGGCCGGGCCCCAATAAAAGCTTGTTAAATCCATGTGATCACCTATGCTATAAAACTTACACGGTAAATTCAATATAATACTCTCTTTTTCACACAGTTTTATTCTCAACTAAAGTCCAGTTGATTCCCAACTTATGTCCAGAATGTCTTTCTTTGGACTTTGTAGTCCAGACTTTATGACGATAACAGGTAAACATGGATGAAGTGTTGAGTGTGTATTGACATCAACAGCTTTTATCCAAAACCATCTGTTCGCATGCCTCTGGAACAACCAGGGGTTAAGTGTCTTGCTCAGGGACACAATGGTGGATGGGTCACAGTGGGGGATTGAACCAGGGTCTCTCACACCATAGGCATGTGTCTTATCCATTGCGCCATCACCACCCTTAATATGTAGAAGAATGTATTGGTACCATATGATTTAAAACATCATGACTAACACTTGGAGTATGTTGTGAAAGGATACCTTCTCCAGCGTCTTTAGTAACGATGGTGAAGGTGGCCGGTCTGTTCACTGTGCCGTGACTCAGACCAGGGCCGTACGCCGTCACATGACCACCGTTAATGGCATCAACGTAGAACTGGAGTGGACTTCCTGTAACAGAGGAAACACAACAGGAATATTATGAAGAGGCCAGTTAACGCTAATACAGATCCTGGTCCGCCATAAAGACCGCACACCCAAACACAAGAAAAGCAATCTAGTGTATGCGGTCCAATGCAGTGAGGAATGCACAGACCTGTATATTGGCGAGACTAAACAATCACTACACAAACGCATGGCTCAACACAGAAGGGCCAACTCCTCAGGTCAAGACTCAGCAGTCTACTTACATCTGAAGGACAGAGGACAACAATGTTCATATTCTGGCCCAGGAGGACAGACAGTTTGAAAGAGGCCGTTTAGACCAGAGTAGAGAAACCATCTCTCAACGGGGAGGAGGTCACACCACTTATCTCCGACCTACAATGCTGTGCTTTCATCTCTTCCCCGGAGACTTAACAAACGCTCCCGTTTGGCCTCATGTGATGACACCAACGTCAATTGTTCAGACTTGGCCTCAGGTGACTCCAGTGACCACTATGACTGTCGTTACAACAGCCATTTAACCTCTGTGGAGCACTACCAAGCGGTTCGTTAGTGCTCCACAGAGGTTAAATATCTGTCCAACCAAGTCCAGTTACCCTTGAGTTTAACCGTCCTTGACCTATGACCAGGACTATGACCTGGAAGACTGAGAGTCTTCACAGACAGACAATACTGCTTGTCTCCAATAACTGGGAGCTCAGATTGAATCCATCCTTTTTTCTCCAGCTGAGCCTGAAAAACAAAAACCATCTGAAGTGAATACCTGGGATATGTTTTCCATCATATTTGATGTCCATCTCGTGCAGGCCTCGTTCTGTCGGGGAGTATTTCACGGTGACGGTGCCGTCCTTGTTGTCGGTGATGTGAGGACAGGCGGTTCGACCAGACGGCATTCGCACTTCACCTGGAGGACAAAACAAACCACAGCTGTTAACTTGTCATGGCTTATCCCTGAATGGTTCGTTCTTTGATTATTCTGTTTCAAAACCAAATCGCAAAAAAAGAAAAAAGAAGACCATTTATTTTAGTTTTTCCTGCTATCATCGAAGGAAAAGTAAATTCCAAAGTTATCAATAAATCTTGTAGAAGAATGTCCACCAACAGAAGATGGGTGATGCCACGGGGCAACGACCCAAAGCACAGAAGTAAATCAACAACAGAACGAAGAAGAAAATACGCATTCTGGAGTGGCCCAGTCAGAGTCCTGACCTCAACCTGATTGAGATGCCATGCCATAACCTCAAGAGAACGATTCACACCTGACATCCCAAGAATATTGCTGACCTGAGAAACAGCCATACTGTTTCCAGCCTGCACTGTGAATGTTTCCACGATGAGTTCAATGAAAACATATAATTGTTTGTGTGGAGTTAGTTTAAGCACACTGTGTTTGTCTGTTGTTGATGAAGATCAGAAATCCAGGTGATTCCAAAGGGTTCACATACTTTTTTTTAAAAAGTGATTTGGCTTCACAAATCAATATTTTCAACATGAATGCAGTTTATATAAATAGGAAGGTTTAAAAACTGGTGTCATTTCTTCTGCATCACATAATGCTAAAGATGTTTGGGCTCATTTGGAGCACAGACCTTATTTTCTGCTTAAACTGAAAACACTTGAAATGACCATCAAGACAGTATTTTTAAATTTGATATATCAACAGGAATTTGAATCTGCTTCATGCTGTCAGTCCTGTCCAACTCAATTTAACAATAACACATTCATCATTCTGAATAAAGCATGCATTCTCACTCTCTGCACCTCCGTTTTCATTCTGTAGCAAAACAGAAATTCACGCTGAAATTATAGATTTCCTCTCAGAGAGCGACATGTGAACAGCCAGCTCTTACCTGTGATCTCTCCTTTCTGCACGGTGAAGGGAATGACCAGACTGAAGGGGCGGAGCACGGGCTCCATCCCTTCCACGGGGCTGATGGGATCATCGGTGGCCTAAACCAGAGCCAGAGGGGAGAGGCGTTAGTGTCACCATACTGGGAACTCTGGGATATGGTCCAGAGAGAGGAGGGAGGCAGGAGGAAACACAGCAGGACAGCAGAGAGGCTGAGAGAGAGCATCAGAGGCTGGATGCAGATTTAGACCAAACAGCCATTTAAACTGTTCAATATTGTACGTAGTCCTTTATAAAACCGGTAAGATAGAAAAATACGAATATAAACAGCGATCTAAACAATAAAAGAAAAGATATAAATAATAAAAGAAGCATTATAAAGTCAAAAATAAATCAACATAAGATAATAAATAAATAAATGAAAATAATAAATAATCAAATCATCAGAATAAATAAAAATGAAATATGATGATGGAAGTCCCCCCCCCCCCCAGCAGCAGACAGTTGATCATGCAGAATAACCATGCAGCCCCATGCTGAGCCAGTGACAGATCTATCAGTGAATGTGGGGCGTGATTGACCCTGCAGCTCCAGTGTAGGACAGAGAGGACGGCTTGTCTGAAGAGCAGTAATAACTCTGTGTACCCATTGAGGGGAGAAGCCCACATAGGACTGCTGTAACTGAAGCTTGTCACATGGCTCCTCTATTATTGGGATGGTTTCACTCGCCTGACGGGGAACAAGGTACAAGCTTTAGGGAAAACACACACACACACACACCTCCATGCACAAACATGTACTAAACATATATAAATACACCTTTTACATGTACTTTAAACTGTATTAATCTTACTCTCATGTTAGCATCTTTGTACTTGGTGTTAGCATTATTCTGAAGGCTGACAGTTTTAGAGGTCATGAACTGAAAAGTTGACCTCACAATCCATCCAACAGATCCATTTCAGTTCAATTCACAGAACTTTATTTACACGTTAGCAACTCCATTTGTGCTCATTGTTACGACTTAGTTTAGCAGGTCGCGGTGGATGTTAGATTCCGGGCTGATATACCAAAGGTTCTTACAGATTCCGGTGCACCGTCCAGTACTCACAGTGCATAGTGCACTTTTTCTCAGAGTCAAAGCACTTATGCACAAGCGGTTCCCAACATTTCTGACCTTTAAAAATGTTTTCTAGTGACCCATCATCATCGTTGACAGAAAGAGACTGAAGAGTAAAATGTAACCTGTAATCCACATGACAAAGACCCCGACCCTGCTGTGACTCACCACCACGTGGAAGGGGCTGTTGGGAATGTTTTCTCCTCCGAACCGGATAGTGATGACGTACTTCCCGGGCTCCGGAGCCGTGTAATAAATATCAAACGTCCCGTCGCGTTCTCCACCACGTCCACGTCCAGCTCCGCTCCGTCAGGAGTCGACACCTTACAGGTGACTTTACCTTTCCCAGCAGCCTTTGCATCCACGGTGATGACCGTCTCCTCTCCGATCTGGATGGTCGGACCGATACCTGATCCTGACAAGATGGACGTCGAATCAGGATGCTAGTCATGAAAACGTGGCTAGACTAGATTAGATTATACCAGACTAGATTAGACTAGATTAAATAAAACCAGACTAGATTAGACTAAATTAAACAAAACCAGACTAGATTAGACTAAATTAAATAAAAACAGACTAGATTAGACTAGATTAAATAAAACCAGACTAGATTAGACTAAATTAAATAAAACCAGACTAGATTAGACTAAATTAAATAAAACCAGACTAGATTAGACTAAATTAAATAAAACAGACTAGATTAGACTAGATTAGATTATACCAGACTAGATTAGACTAGATTAAATAAAACCAGATTAGATTAGACTAGATTAGATTATACCAGACTAATTAGACTAGATTAAATAAAACCAGACTAGATTAGACTAAATTAAATAAAAACAGACTAGATTAGACTAGATTAGATTATACCAGACTAGATTAGACTAGATTAAATAAAACCAGACTAGATTAGACTAGATTAGATTATACCAGACTAGATTTGACTAGATTAGATTATACCAGACTAGATTAGACTAGATTAAATAAAACCAGTCTAGATTAGACTAAATTAAATAAAACCAGACTAGATTAGACTAAATTAAATAAAACCAGACTAGATTAGACTAGATTAAATAAAACCAGACTAGATTAGACTAGATTAAATAAAACCAGACTAGATTAGACTAAATTAAATAAAAACAGACTAGATTAGACTAGATTAGATTATACCAGACTAGATTAGACTAGATTAAATAAAACCAGACTAGATTAGATTATACCAGACTAGATTAGACTAGATTAGATTATACCAGACTAGATTAGACTAGATTAAATAAAACCAGACTAGATTAGACTAAATTAAATAAAACCAGACTAGATTAGACTAGATTAGATTATACCAGACTAGATTAGACTAGATTAGATTATACCAGACTAGATTAGACTAGATTAGATAATACCACACTAGATTAGACTAAATTAAATAAAAACAGACTAGATTAGATTATACCAGGCTAGATTAGACTAAATTAAATAAAAACAGACTAGATTAGATTATACCGGACTAGATTAGACTAAATTAAATAAAAACAGACTAGATTAGATTATACCAGGCTAGATTAGACTAAATTAAATAAAAACAGACTAGATTAGATTATACCGGACTAGATTAGATTATACCAGACTATATTAGACTAGATTATACCAGACTAGATTAGATAATACCAGACTAGATTAGACTAAATTAAATAAAAACAGACTAGATTAGATTATACCGGACTAGATTAGACTAAATTAAATAAAAACAGACTAGATTAGATTATACCAGGCTAGATTAGACTAAATTAAATAAAAACAGACTAGATTAGATTATACCAGACTAGATTAGATTATACCAGACTATATTAGACTAGATTATACCAGACTAGATTAGATAATACCAGACTAGATTAGACTAAATTAAATAAAACCAGACTAGATTAGATTATACCAGACTAGATTAGACTAAATTAAATAAAACAAGACTAGATTAGACTAGATTAGATTATACCAGACTAGATTAGACTAAATTAAATAAAAACAGACTAGATTAGATTATACCGGACTAGATTAGACTAAATTAAATAAAAACAGACTAGATTAGATTATACCAGACTAGATTAGATTATACCAGACTAGATTAGACTAAATTAAATAAAAACAGACTAGATTAGATTATACCGGACTAGATTAGACTAAATTAAATAAAAACAGACTAGATTAGATTATACCAGACTAGATTAGATTATACCAGACTAGATTAGACTAAATAAAACCAGATTAGATTAGACTGTAATATCCTAGACTAGATTATATTAAACTAAATTGGACTAATTTATATTAGACTAGATTGTGTAACCTGGATTATACCAGACTAGTTAAATAAAACCAGATTAGATTAGATACCAGTGGTCTAAAAGAACATTTAATTGAAAGAAAACGTAACCGTCTCATCTTATCAGTGAAGTCACGCAGCTCGTATCATCAGAGCGGTGGAGAATAATCTGACTCACCCAGTCCGTGTCCTCCGATCGACACTGCGGGAAAACAACAAGAGGGTCAGTGATGCTGTGACAGTTTCAGGAGATATGATCTGATTGGTTGCGGGAGGAGTGATGGGAGGGGCCTGACCTGTGACCAGACACTTGCTGGCGTCTCCGGTGGGCAGGGCGTGGATGCGGTACGGCGAATACGGGATCTCGTCTCCTCCGTATTTGATGGTGATGGTGTAACGGCCCGTCATGTCCGGTACGTATGACACCGTGTACGTCCCGTCTCTGTTGTCTCGGATGTTCGCCTTCTTGGGTTTTCCCTCCGGATCCTGGAGACGCAGACAGGAAGTCAGCGGGTGTCTGTATATGCTTCAGGTACACGACTGTTTAAAACTACAGTGGAGTACTGGCCATCAGTGGTCTCCTACAGTGCCATGTGCCATTGATGGTAACTTTCCAATTCAGTGTGGTTTTCAGTTGAAGGATCCGATCCAGGATCAAGCTTTGTATCTGATCTTTTACTTGTCTGCTGTTACAGTTTGATTCTTCTTGCCTATTTTGACCCAAAACCTTTAAAGCTTTGAAAAACACATAAAGATAAGGTTATCATTTTAAAATCATTGATCACTGGAAAAGCCTTCATGGTAGCACAGCTTAAAAACTGCTGATTACAGAAACAGTTAAACTGGCTTGTTGAGCATCTGGAGCATCAGCAGCTGCTGGTTCCATTAGAGGCTCAAAACATCCAGAAACAAAGAACTTTATTCCTCGTCAGTCTGTTCTTGTTCTGAGAAATGAAGATCTCATCCAATGCTGTGGATTACTCCCAGAACAAACTGGCTCTGACCAGCCAGAAAGAGGAGTAGGACGCCCCGGGGCACAACTGAGCAAGAGGACAAATACGTTAGTCTAGTTTGAGAATCTGATGCCTCACAGGTCCTCGACTGGCAGCGCCATTAAATAGTACCCAGAATTCACCAGTCTGAACGTCAGCAGTGAGGAGGCGACAGCGAGATGCTGGTCTGCAGGCCGGAGTGGCAAAGAAAAGCCATACAAAGATAAAGCCCTCATGTTTTCTTTTTATTGGCCGGTATGAAGGCCAGCATCTCGCTGTCGCCTCCTCACTGCTGACGTTCAGACTGGTGTATTCTGGGTACTATTTAATGGAGCTGCCGGTTAACAGTTGGCCTTAAGGAGGTGAGAGGAGGATCTGAACCAACGACAGGTGGAACTCAGGACCTGAACCCTGACCTCTGACCTCTGGCTGCTGCTCAACAAGAAATATTTAACACTTCCTTCACTTGAAAAAAAGCTGCTGTAAAGATAATCCATTAAACACGTGCTTCCCTTAAAATGTATAAAGACTATTTGAAGTTCTAGGTGACGGGGATGTTGGACATGTGACTAAATGTACCGAAGCAGCTTTGCGGACTGACGGTTGGTGAAACATCGCAGACTCTTACGGTTCTTCCACAGTAGAACAGTTTGGGCTTTTCATACTCTCTGAAATAAAACCCTCGATGGCTCCTGGTGGTTTGAGACCAGTGGTGTTGCCAGTACTCACATGTACTGCTTAAAGTACTTCAACCGCACACAGGATCTAACTAGATGCAGCAGAGGAGCGGCGGATGGATGGAAGGAGGCAGGTTTACGAAGGTTAGTGGAGAACTGAACACCACATCTGTCTGTTAGATCATTAGACAAACTGAATGCAGACAGTTCACATGTTGACCACGAGGGGGCGCGCGGGGGCTTCTTCTATCAGACTCTTTCCAGACAGATTTTATTTCAAGGATTTTGGTGTGGTGGACGCACTAACCTGACTTGACTAAAAGTAGTAATACCACAGTGTAGAAATCAAATGTCATTCTGGACAAGAAGTCGTTACAGTGCTCTGGAAACGTCTACAAGTCCATAACACCAGGGGAATATGACAAAGGCTGCAGAACAGCTACTCATCGGACCTTGTGATGAGGCGTGTTTGTTCTCAAGGTCAAGAATGAATTCCAGAGCTGGTTCTAATGTGTGATGTGGTCGAAAGCTAAAGGGACCGTTTTATTTTTAGGTAATCTGTCCAGAAAATTTCCAGACATTCCCCAGAAAAACAAAACCTCTGTAAACCAGACAAGGCTCACTGGTGTCTAATAACTCCCCAAAGCTGGCCGATTCTGCGTCAGATTCGCCCTCCCAACAATTGCGGGGATGTTCCTGAGCTGAGGCTGGTCTGAACTGATCCTCGGCCCACATGATCCTGCAGTGAGAGGGGTTAACAGACAGGATCTTAAGACCTGCAACTTCAATTATGGGTTAAACGAGATTATGATCTCCTGTCTTGTTGCAGCTCACGTTCAGTCCCGACTGGATGTGTTTAAACCTGCACGACTGTAAACTGTTTCCTGTTTTGAATCCAGCTGTCGACGACAGTCTGCCTCCATGTTTGTTTCTGTCTGAAGTCACCATAGGTGTCACCGGGGACGCTGGGGACATGCCCCCCCCACTATTTGAAAATGTTCTGAATATACAGCTTGCAGTTAAATAACAAATGAAAATGCCTTTAGAAAGGTGTATTTGCACATTAAGAAAACAAGCAATGCAATTAAATTATAGAAGAAACAAATGTGCATCGTCCAAAAAAGGAACTTAAGCTAAAAAAAACAAGCTACTGATTATAAAATGATCCACAAACGTGCAGCAGCCGTCAGTAACTTTAACAACTTCTTGATGCAGTTTCTTTTAGTTCTCTCGCTGTGAACAAGACAAAGAGGAGTGAAGCCTAAATCCTGGTTTCATGTGTGCTGCCTCAGCAGGGAGGATGTTGCTCTGCAGGAGAAACAGATCTGAAAGCAGCAGAATGACTCAGAGCTGCTCTGACTTGTGTATTTTAATATGTCACCTGCCACCTGAATTTTGTGTTTCCTTTTACATAAGTAAAAACATTTCCACTTAAATTGATCAAAATGTCCCTGGGGAGGTCCCCCAGCCCCCCCGCTCATATGTCTCGGCATTGAGGAAATCTTTCAAACACTTTTTAAGGATCTTTTTGTCTCGTTCTCGTGAACCTAATATTGCAGCTCGTGATGTCTCGCGAGCAAAGTGTCTCTTCACAGCCCTAATCTGAGCCCCTTGTCCCCACCACTGTTCAACACAAAGTCTCGTTTGATTAGGTGAGATCCCAAGTCCCCGAAACCGCCACTCTGAAACCGTTTAGCATAAACGTGTCTGTTCTCAGGATTAAAATATGTCTGTGGAATCGGTTGAGATCTGAGAATCCTCTAGTGAGCAGCAGGCGTTAGTGAACAAGGAGGCAGGGAGGAAGGGAGGGAGGGGGTGAGACGAGGTGATGGAGGGAGGGAGGTGAAAGAGGAGGGGGTGCAGGCCTTACACAGCCTCTCTTATGAATTCTGAAGGGGATGGTTTTCTTTACTATATGTGTCTCCCACACCCTCCTGCCCCAGTCCTCCACAAACACTGAGGCCTCGCGCCTGCACCCATCCGGACCCTGCAGCAACAGCAACGAGCCCCCGACGGAGCAACAGGAAGTCACATGGAGAGTTTCATTCAGGGTTAAAAGAGAAAGATCATGAGAAGCTCCATCTCTGCTATCGTAGCTCACATTCAATCCTGACTGTTTGAACACTGCATGTTACAAAAACTGACATGAATATGAAAATCTCTCAATCTAGCTGCCACACAGGAGCGGAGGGGCCGAATCATGGGAATGTAGGTTTACTTTTCCATACAAAGAGTTATTTATATGATTATTCAGTTTTGCCCACTTAATTATATTTAAAAAATCTGGTCGGCCTCAAACGCCTTCACAGCGCCGCCCAGGAAGCATCATTTAAGGTCCTGTATGACCTTCACTCTTATCAGTAGTTTTAAAAAGGGAAAAGAATTTATACGTGACTGCATCATAAAGTCCTGAGCTGGTTTAGAAGAGCCCTGTATCCCTGTTCTTTCTCAGCCACGATGCATTTAGGTCCTTGTCTAAGTCAGGACAGGAACCTGGGGCTCACCAGTATCTGAACAGTGAGAAGTCCCTCTCCGGCGTCTCGGGCGTCGATGGTGAACTCAACCGGCAGACTGGCCGGAACTCCGGATGCATTCAGACCTGGACCGCTGGCTCGCACTTTACTGGCATCGTGAGCCGGTAGAGTCTTGATCTTAAAAGGACTGAGAGAAGACCGTTTGTGAGACCTAGACCAGTGGGATCGGGACTTCTTTAGATAGGAGTCTCTTCGGTACTGACCTGCGAGGGACCTCCTGGTCGGCGTACTTCACACACACCGTGTACGGGCCGTCGTTGGCAGGAGTGTAGTTGACTGTGTGAGTGCCGTCACCGTTGTCGTTGATGCTGATTGGCTCGGCCACACCTGAAGAGCAACCAGAGTTTCACAAGAAATGATATCTGTCGTTAGAACAAGTTTGAGTTTTGGACTTTAAAACCATCCTCAACCTCTACAGGGGTCTGGTTCTGGGTCTGCTTCTGAAGGACAATTGGGTTTACGTTAGGGTGGAGGTCATGATTAAGACTTGAGTCCAGGATTAAAGGTCTTTAGTTCGACCCCAACACGAGGCCCTGATGAGACCGGGTCTGACTGCATTCTAAACATCTTGGTACTCAAATGGAAGAGTTTAGATCAGCCTCAGGTTTTTTTAGTTTCATAAAGATGCATCGGTTCTCTCTCTTGTGTTCATCGCCTGACTCTGAGTTGTTCCTTCTGCTCATTCGTTCTCTTTGCTGTTTTACTTCCTGTCTTTTCCTTTATTGTCCTCGTTCCCCTGACTGTGATCAGCTGTGCGTCGGGCCGGGCGATGTGGCCAAAAATGTTATCACGCTAAAAACATTTCATATCGTTCGATATTGATAATTATCCCAATAAATGTCAAATCAACAAAACAAATATTTTAATAGAAAAAGTGCTAATTTGTTTGTGATTTAAATGAATTAAACCAAATATTTATTGACGATATACTGAACATTTATTTTCTTGTTTTTGAGGAAAATTATATTGCGATAATTATCGTTATTGTTTTATTGCCCAGCCCTAGCTGTGCCTCGTCCTCTGTGTGTACGTGCTTGTCTGTCTGTTGTTTGTTGCTCGCTCATTGTTTTTTCAGTTTCTCAGTTTTCACGGATGATTCACCAGCGTTTCCTCAGCGTTGTTCCTAGTGTCTTGTGTTTTCTCCAGTGTTCCTCCAGCCTCTCTTGCTGGGTGGATTTACACTTTCGGTTTTTACTCATGGACTTCTCACCCGTTTTTGTCTTTTGGATTATTGAGCTTTATTTTTTGACTCCCTAACCACAGCACTTTTAAGTTTCACCCATTTTGTTAATGAATCTTCACAGAATGATCCCAAGTCTGCTGAGGCTGTTGAAAATGTGCATCTGGACCCAGATTTGGGAGAAAGCGCCACAGAGAAACATTAATGGATTCAACTGCATCCTTGGTAAATCCAACACTTAAATTAGGATTAACCCATGGAAGAAACAGACATCAGGGCAGTCTTACCTGTGGGCCCATACAGCAGGACCTCCAGGGGGGCCACCCCAGCCTTGCTGCTGTCAACAGTGAAGGTCTGAGGGACGTGGGCTCGGACTCCACTTCCCAGGCCGGGACCTGAACACTTCACTTTACTGGGATCCACCAGCTCTCGCACTGGAACCCGGAATGGGCTCCCTGCAACACATACAGAGGAGGCCAGAAATGAGTCACTGCTGAACCTGAGTACGTCCGACCGTACGGACCAGAGTCCTGGATGAACGGTTTAGAGGCATCACCTGGGATGGGAAGGCCTCCAAAGGTGATGTTGACGTCGTACTCTCCAGGAGTGAAGGGGATGTACTCCACACTGCAGCTGCCATCTTTGTTGTCCTTACATGACATCTTTGCCTCAGATGGACCCTCAATAGCCAGGCCAAGACCTCCGGTGCCAGCCCCTCTGAGGAAGAGCCAGGGCAGAGGGAAAACGAGATGGTGGACTGAATTCAAACAGGTCTGAAACATTCACATTTGTCTGATTGCTCCAAAATGTATTTGAAGCATGTAAAATCACCTGGTCTCGACTGTGAAGCGGTTTGGTTTGTTAACCAGTCCTTCCTCCAGGCCGGGACCGTACGCTCGGACTCGACTGGGATCACAGCCCTCGGCCACCGACACCCTGAACGGGCTCTTAGGAACCGAGACCTCATCAAACAACAGTTCAATCAGATGCAAACCTGCAGACGGACAGAAAGATCACGCTAGTTTAGCATGTAGCATTTTGCATGCTAGCAGGCCAAATGTTAGTAAGCAGTGAGGACAGATTGTGATCCGGTCTGCCAGACCATCTCTGGAGAAGGTCGGGGCCGCTAAGTGAACACATGGACCGACAAATGCTTTGTCTATCCACATACAACAACTGTGTGGGTGGAAATAAGTCTTCCACAAATAAAATTCAAAAGTCTGACAGCACAGACGGGCAGTGTGTCCATACAGTGTTGTGCATAAACGCATTTAAAGCCCCCCAAAGCACACATAAGGTTCGGTTACTGGGATGCGCCAATCCAGGGAGCGCATCCCAGTGGACTGAAGCAACAAGTTTCAATAACTGTCTCAGGTCCAGGTCTCACCTGAATTTCAGCCCAAAATCAATTCATTTCTATAGAAGCGGTACTGAGCTCAGAATTTTATAGTAAGTTCAACATTGGTACTGATGGCCAATTCTGGACCAATAACAAACTGACTGTCTCTGAGGAACCAAGACCCGGGGGCCAAAAACGCACCAGTGCTGAAGCTTACGAGATTACAACAACACCTACTTTCACGTCCACACCGCCCCGCACACTAACAGGGTGGTTACTTATCATAACCCCAATTCTCGGTTGATGGGGATCACTGTGCAGCTGCACCTCAGAAGCTCTAGTTCAGTCCCAAAGGAACTTTATCATTGGACTGATGCTCCACATTGTTCCAGTCAGTGCAGGTTTTTTTATTGTTTATTTGTGAGGGACAATGCAGAAGAGACGCACTGTCCCTGCGTCCAACCAGCAACCCTTTAGCTACAACCCTAGATGTGCATGTGAGTTTAGGACTCAGCCAGAGAATCACCTTTCATTAAAATCCCGGTCTGTCTCCACGAGGGTATTTATGTCCCACAATGCAAAGGGTTCTAACATGTCACACATTACTATCAGTGGAAAACCATCTGCTTCCAACAGACTGCTGCTATTAATACCAGCCGCTCATCCCGCCCACCTCTTCTCTCACACAGGCGGCCTGACTAACTTCATTCATTTTACCGATAGACATCGTTTACAGCACTTTTTCACAGTCACTATTGTTTTACAGTGTTACTCAATTACTCATGTGTGTTTATTTTGCCTGTATATTACTTCAAGGCAGTTGTAAGACTGCAGAGTAATTGCCTTGGGATGATTATATAAGTATGTAACACTATTACTATTACATTTGGGTTTAATTCCCTTCACCAGTGAACTTTGGCTGACATGAGGCGTCCATGTTTGTTTGCTCATTTCCAGATTAAGCCCCAGGCCAGATACCCAAAGTTGTTTCCTAAGTCGATTGTGCACGTTAGTATGCTGTCATGCTAAGATTAGCCAATCACTGTCCTGCTTTTAGCATCCTTATCCTGTCTACATTTTGTACATATAATAGTTAACATGCATGTTAATCATGCATTAGCACACTTAGTGAGCATGATAATGTTAATTAAAATAAACATTTAGTTACTGTAATAAAAGTTACAGGTCTGTTTCACTTCACTTCATGTTTGTGAAGACACACTAACAGCAGGAGAAAACTGAAACCAGCTTTTGAAATAAAATAACTTTTGTTTGAATTGAAACAAAACAATTGGTGGAAGATGGATTTTGATGGGGTTCCACTTGTGTTTGCATTTGAATCTGCCTAAATCAGCCTCAGGAGGATCTGTCAGCTCACCACAATAAGAGTCTTAAACATGATGAAATCATTCTGCAGCAACAAGTTTAATTGTTGAAGCCACAAATGCCTCGCTTGACTGTAGCAGAGGGAAAACAGAAGCTTTATTAAAGCCACAGGAACTTTATTTCCACATTATAATGTGCTGCTGTGGAAAAACATCCATAAAACTGCCTGTAGTCTGAGTGAATCTCACTGAGTTCATCACCAGAAACAGATCGCTGACTGCAGCTGAGCCTGGCTCCACCTCCTGCCTCCAGGGACGTGTAATGGTACACTGAATAAAACCTTAAGCGCCTCACCATCCTCGTATGGCGTGTACTCCACTCTGTAGGTCCCGTCGCCTTTGTCGGTGATGTAGGCGTCCGTGTTGCTGCCTGATGGATTGGAGATGCAGGCTTTGATATGGCTGCCGCCGCTCTTGTAGTGGGCCCGAGCGTCCACTATGAAATGGGTAGTCACTTCCCTCAGGACGCCTGTGGAGAAGAAACAACATGAAGAGAGCAGCAACACTGGGAAGGAAACTGGTGCATATGTAGAGAATAAACAAACAAACTAATGCTAATGGTTGGTCAAAACTGACCAGAATGTGACTCACCATACATTTTAGATATACTATATTCTAGGCTTAAAACAGAGTATACTGTAATTACGTTTCACTGAGCCTGGAAAACCACCAGAAGCAAGTTAAAGCTAACTTACAGTTAACTTAGCTGGCGAGATAGCCACAGCTAACGTTAGCTAGAGAAACATTTACCTACTTTCTCCTACATGTAAGTCAGAACCTCCGGGTCTGAAAAGTGAAGCACCTTAAACCTGCGTCCTCTCTAGCCGCCAGCAGGGGGCGACTCCCCCGGCTGCAGAAAGAAGTGTGATTGTATAGAAGTCTACGAGAAAATGTTTCTACTTGTCAGCTGATTTATTCCCTCAGTAAACACTTTCCTGATGAGTTTCTGGTCTCAGTCGCTAGTTTCAAGTCTTCTTCAACACAGCATGATGTTCATTTAGGAAATTATGGTCCCATTTAGAGGAACAGAGACCAGGAAGCAGGGGAGGCTTTAGGGCGGGGCTACAAGCTGATTGACAAGTCGCTACCATGGCGACCTGTCAATCAGGATAGAGGCGACTCGTTGCTCTGTGAACATTTAACCAGCGCTGCTGAAAAAGTGATAGCTGAAAGAAGACAGCGTGTTTTGACAAGCTTTCCTCAGATATTTTCAGATTTTATCGATGATCTTGTTCATTTTACAGTGTTTTTTATTCAAAAAGAAAGAAGAGATTATTATTTTAGACGCTGATGCATGTAATTTGTTAAATGAAGTAACAAAGAAAGTTTCCTGCACGATCCATCCTAACGTCTGATTTTAGTCACAAACCTGATCTTTACTGTCCACCATAGCGATCATTTTAAACACCTTCATTTTTACACATAGAACGTTACATAAAAAAGGCATTTTTATGGAGTACAGAGGTCATTCCAGGAGTCTAATGATATTGTCCAAACCAGTTCCTTGCTACTTAATGAGAATACGTGACGGAGCTATGAGGATAAAGGAGCTTTGCTATCTTGGTGCTCACATTTCTGGTTTTGTGTTTGGGATTTTACTTGCATGAGTCCATGTGAAGGTGGCGCGGTGGTTAGCACTGTCGCCTCACAGCAAGAAGGTCAACCCCGGTTTCCTCTGCCTTTCTGTGTGGAGTTTGCATGCCCGTGTCTGCGTGGGTTCTCTCCGGGTGCTCCGGCTTCCTCCCACCGTCCAAAAACATGCAGTCTAGGTTGATTAGTGACCCTAAATTGTCCTTAGGTGTGAGTGTGAGCGTGAGTGGTTGTTCGTCTATGTGATGGCCTGGCGACCTGTCCAGGGTGGACCCCGCCTTGCGCCCAATGTCAGCTGGGATTGGCTCCAGCCCCCCCGCGACCCTGTACGCAGGATAAGCGGTTGATGATGGATGGATGGATGGAAGGAGTCCATGTGAGTATTTGAGATATCGCTCACACTCTGTGGTTTAACCACAGCTTTAAACATTTTACATTTTGTAAACATTTTACAAATGTGTCACAGAAAGAAGTGAAACACAACATGTATCATCCAGATGGAGATCCAATGTAGGAAACAAAATGAGAAGCCTCCAAAACTGCACATGTGCTCCTGTGAGTTTATTAACTGTCATAATTGACCAGGAGGCGAGTAAACAAACCGCTAAGAGCCCCTCCGTCATTAAAACAGACCTCAGAACAGAGAGTTTGGAAACTATGGCTGTACGTCTGAGAGTTTCTGCACATCAGTCGCACATTTATTCTATAAAATCTACTATGTGAAAGGTGCTGCCTTCGCCCTGTAGGGTTGGTTTCAATAACAGGGTCTATTATGGATAATTAGGGCAAGTTACAGTTATTAAGAAAGTTGAAGAAATATGAAGAAAGATTCTTCTATTCCTACATAAAACTCTACTTAGTTTATTAATTAAGCGCTCATGAAATACAGGATCTCTTTTGGGGGGTAAATTAACAATTCATTAATGGGATTGTTGTTTTATAGTCGAATATGTAATATATCTTAACAACTTTAAATTGAATGTAAATCCATCCACCCATCGTTAACCTGATATCCGGGGTCGGGTCGCAGCTTCAGCAGGGACCCCAAACCCCCCATTCCTGAGCCACATTAACCAGCTCTGACTGGGGGATCCTGAGGCGTTCCCAGGCCAGTGTGGAGATATAATCTCTCCAACTAGTCCTGGGTCTTCCCCGAGGCCTCCTCCCAGCTGGACGTGCCTGGAACACCTCCCTAGGGAGGCGCCCAGGGGACATCCTTACCAGATGCCCAAACCACCTCAACTGGCTCCTTTCGACGCAAAGGAGCAGCGGCTCTACTCCAAGCTCATCACGGATGACTTGGCTTCCCACCCTATCTCGAAGGGAGACGCCAGCTGCGATCTAGTTCTTTCGGTCATGAACTGGCAGCCATGCCTCTGAGTTTTGGTTCTTAAATATCAGCTTTTCTGTTGGACAGAATTATGTAAACCCCTGCCACCTTGTAACTGCATAGGAAAAACCCTTCTGCCCTCACCTCTGGGTTCGACTCCAGGTCCGTAGACCTTCACCCCGCTGGTGTCCACAGCCGGGTCCACCTGTAGTCGGGTGGGGAACTTCGGTACTGCGTGTCCTCCATATTTGATGGTGATGGTGTACATGCCGTGGAACTGGGGGATGTAGGTGATGGAGTAGGTCCCGTCGCTGTTGTTCTGGACATGAACTTCAGCTTTGGCTCCGGAGTCGGAGATGATCTCGATGGTGAGCTCGGCCTCTCCGGCTTTAGAGCAGTCCACCGTAAAGGATCCGTCCTCGTTGACTTTCGCTCGCTCCAGGCCAGGGCCGCTGGCCGTCACCTTGCTGGGGTCAAACGCAGACTGGACCATGGCCTTGAAGGGGGAACCGGGGATGTGCTGGTCTGCAAACAGGATGTTGATGGCGTACTCGCCGGGCTCTGTGGGCAGGTAGGACACGGAGCAGGATCCATCACCATTGTCCTGGCATTCAATCTTGGCCTCACAGGGTCCCTCCACCGTCAGGCCCAGACCACCGGTACCGGCTCCCTTTGTATCAATGGCAAAGGGGGCTGGTTTACCTACAACACCACCCTGAAGACCGGGACCATAGGCGCGAACCTGGAAGGTAAACAGGCAAACATTTTAAAAGCTGCCAGAGTTAGGAGTTTCTGGAGGACCAGGATTCATAGCGTGAGTCTTCCGGACTGGGCCCAGGCTGTTTTCGGTGTTATCAGCAGTTTTGGACAGAATTCAGCTGGGACCACGACAGTGTGGCAGTTCAATACCCAGCCTACTTTTCTCTACTGGCTGAGCGATACCTGATTAAAAGTATCAGGCTAAATGTATTTCTGTTGTTAGAGAAACCTTTAAAGACGCAGGAAACGGTCTTTAGTGTAACTCACCTTTGTAGGGTCAGGCGGCATGACGCCCTCCACGGTGAACGGACTTCCTGGTACGGGGTTTCCGTCGTAGGTGATGTCCACTCTATACGGCCCTTCCTCAGGGGGTATGTACTTCACTGTGTGCATCTCATTGGCTGTGCCCGACTCCAGCTTGCAGGGGATTGGTCGACGTGAAGGGGAGGTGATCTTGACGTCCAGTTTGCCCTGACCTCCGGCACCCTGAGTGCTGACGGTGAACTCCTCGTCCTTCCCTACGTCCACCTCTTTGATTTGCACACGAACACAGACACACAAGCAGGACGTTCAGGCAGTGCTTACTAATCTTTTTAATACAGAATTTGTGGAGGTATTAAAAGTGCTGCCTTTCCACATCATCACTTTAGTATTTATTACAAGACTTCAGTCTGGAAAAAAATCTCCTGAGGAACTATTTATCCTCCACGTGGGACGAATCAGCCACCTCTCAAAACTCCAGGACCTCCTTTTACTATTTAAACTAGACTAAACTGAAGCACGCTTCTCCAGCTGGCCTGCTGTTCAGGAGTTTCAGGAAATACTTTGGAAACCCAGAGTGAAATGTCTGTTTTTGGTTAATCCAGTGAGCACAAAATCAAAATACTTGAAAACATCAACCATAAATCAGTTCTGCTCATCGATGTGTACCATGACCTGATGTCTGTCGGTCTAACACACAGACACATTTACGTTTATTCATGTCCATATTGTCACATTGCCCAAACCTACTGGAACCAGTGATTCTGCAGAAACATATTTTCTGACCAGCATTAATGTTCATACTTGTATCGCTTACACAATCAATCTGAAACAGTATTTCTGAAACAGAGCCGATTACTAAAGTAAAAGGCAGGTTTAACAAGATGTGCTTATTATTGTTGGGTGTTGTGCCACTACCCTAAGGGAGGCCAGCAGAAAAGTGTTCATCAGGTCTGACAAACATTTGAGACCACATCACAATATTTGGGTGTTTTCTGGATATTTCTTTCCTTTGTCTGTCTTGTCTGTTATCTGTATATCATGGCTGTTAAAAAAATTACCAGGTGATGTTTAAGGAGTTACATTTCCTCTATGTGTCCTCTTTTTCTTTCCAAATACCATTTTTAAAATGCTGTGTTTCAATGTTCAAGCAAAAGGTTCTTGTTGAGATGTGTGAAAAAGTGAGCTGACATTGTGAACTAATGTCCTAAACATTGTGCTTTTAAAATAACATTATGAAACACAATCTGTTTAAGTTCAGCTGTTAAGCTTCTTGTATTTCACAATGAAATTACTCAATCAAGGATCTTCAGCCAGGTCTTGATTTGAACCCTCCTGGGAATCAGTCACATTATAATGGTTGCTCTAAACTTGACTTCCTGTAATAAAACATGATAAAGTTTCTCATTTCCTTTGTGTTCCCAGTAAAAACCAGCAGATGTACTCACTGTTGTTCAAACCCTGAACTTTGACCTTGCTGAGGTCCAGTGGGGGGGCCACACTGATGTTAAATGGACTTTTGGGGATGGGGTCTCCTCCATGACACACAGTGACGGACATGTTCCCCTGCAAGAGACACAAACGTTAACTCCAGTTCACCCATCAGCTCCCCCAGTATAAACTCTAGAGGTCAACGTGTGTCTGACCTGCTGGACTGCGGTGTAGCGGACGGTGTACGAGTAGTCGTGGTTGTCGATGATCTCGAAGTCTCTGACGGCGTCCCCTTTAGCTGCTCCGGTGAAATAAACCTCAGGTTTGGCTTTCCCGGCTCCCTTTGTGAAAATGGTGAAGTGAGTCGGTTTCCCCACTTCGACGCCTGCAGAGAGTTGAAGAGGAATGAGGTTTGTCCAAAAGAATAAAGGGCTAATTTCAGAAGTTTGACCTGTTTAATGAATTATTTCTCTTTTTGAAAAGCATCTCACTCTGTTCACGTCCGCTGACTCTGCAGGAAACATCATGTGGACCGATGGTTATATTATTATAAGCAGAGAGGATTTAAGAAAGAGACTCGCCACTTAAAGAGCCCTGAATAGAATCCTGTAGGGAAGCCTGTAACGTCAAATATGGCGGTTGTTTGGACGTGCCCCTACCTCTACAAAGCTAATCGTATACATTTTTAACAGCCGAGCCGGGAAACAACAAATGTTAAGCCAATCATGTGGCTCCTCTGTGCAGAGCTGAGGTCTGTTTCAGATTTTCCTGCATTCTCTACATGCAGGTTTTTTGTCCTGGTGAAAGTGCAGTTAGGCTCTCTGCACATTTAGAGAGAGACCTGATCCTGTTAGTCCCTAATAACCACCCGGAGGCGTTTCCTGCCTGTATAAGGAGTTTGTCGTAACACAATCAGAACATTGTGTAATCAGCTCACCTGTCTTGCTGAGTCCAGGTCCTTCTGCTCGGACTTTAGCTGCGTCATGGGAAGGATCCACCTTTATTCTGAAGGGGCTGATGGGAATTTCCTGTTGAAACATTAAAGTTGTGAAGTCTGTCTAATGTCTCGTTTTAACAGGAAGCAGTTTACCTGCCCGCGCTCTCACCTGATCAGCGAACAGCACCATGATGGTGTACTGACCGGCGCCCGGGGGCGTGTACTTCACTGTGAATGTGTCGTTGTCGTTCTTGATGATGTCAAAGTCGATGTCGGCCTCTGCTGGACCGACCACACCCGGAGCACACTTGATCCCGATGCTGACATCACCTGCGGGTAACAGTGATGATAAACCTTAACCTCGAAAGGTTTTCGAACATTTTAAAAAGTTGCTAAACAAAAGCAAATATCGTCGATGAGGCAAAGACAAAAAAACTAAATCAAAGTATTGGTTGGTGGTGGAAGAAGTGATAACTTCCTCCACTACTGGTAATGTGATAGAACAAATAAAAGACTGTGAGCACGCCCCACCTTGTCCGGCCTCGCTGCAGTCCACAGTGAAGTAGGTCGGCTCGTTGGCCTTCAGTCCCGTCTTCTCCACACCGGGACCGTACACCTTTACTTTCTCTGGATGGCTGCCCTCTCCTATCATCACCTGGTTCAGAAACATCATTTATGAATAAGGAAATCAACTGCATCTACAATCATATGGAATACACACTGTAGCATACTGGGGGAAAAACAAACTTCTGATCACTCAATAAAAGTATTGAGGCTGAGCTCATACTTTTTAGGAAAGGTGATGAAATAATTTAACTTTTGATTCTCCCCTTTATATCACAAGGTCTTCATGAGCAAATCATTCAACTTTCAATTCATTAACAAAACTGTATTCATTTTTTTACTCCCATTGTTTTCGTTATTTGATTTTTGAGTTCTCTTGTTGTTATAGATTAGAAATAACATTATTATTATAATTATTATTATCATGTAGACTTCAGAATGCGCTCCAGACTTTAAAACTCATTGAAAAGAAAATTTAAAACTCATCTTTTACTTTCTTACCTCGTTAACGGCTACCTTGTTTCACTACTGTTAAACTACTTACTGTATTTTACCTCATCCATATTTTGTCCCTAATGTACTGTTATTTTTTTTTCTTTTTGTGTGTATTTTCCATCTTCTGTGAAGCAGATTTGTTTTCAATGATAAGCAGTGTGTAGTTCTATATCCTTTTATAAAAATTGAAGCTGGTGGAGTACCTCAGGGTTCTACACTGGGTCCCCTGTAACTCTGTATTTACATGTCACTCCTTGCTCACAAATAAACCACAATCATTTTTCATTTACATTTCTATGTTGATGATGTGCAACTTAAACCAGCTCATTCAGAGCCGCTTAATGAGTGTCTGATGAACGTGTACTGGTTTTGTACCCTGAAGGGGCTGTTGGGGACGTTGACTTCGCCCCAGGTGATGATGATGGTGTGTTTGATGGGTTTTGAGGGAGTGTAAACACAGAAGAAGGTGTTGTCTCCGTTATCTGTGATCTGAATGTCGATGGGGAAACCCTCTGCATCCTGAAAGCACAAACACAGATTTTACTTATCTCCAGTCAAAATATCATCGTCACACAGAAGAGTATTTTTGCTAAGTTCTCACCTGAGCGTAGAGCTTCAGCTCTCCTCTGCCGGCTTCGTGGGTATCGATGGTGAAATCAGCAGGTTTGTTGACGATGCAGCCGAGCGGCTCCAGACCTGGACCGTAACATTTCACCTGAGGAGGATCAGATAATATTCAACACGTTGTGTTTAACAATAAAATATCTGTGGAAGAGTTTTAAGGTTCTGGTCTAACGTTTTCAGGGAAGACGTCGTTGGCAGCAGGGAGGATGTGAGCCATGAAGGGACTGTCCTTGATGTCCTCGTCGTCACATATGACGTGCACAGCGTAGTCGCCCGGTTCGGTGGGCCAGTATCGAACATCACATGACCCATCGCCTTTATCATCACACTCGATCTTCGCCTGAGAGGGACCCTCGATGGAGAAACCTGCAGACAGTCAGCAGAAGAATCATAGAAATGTGATCATGTGACACGCCTTTTAACCCTTTTTAGCAGAATTTAACAAACTGTGGCGTCTCCATAAGCAGAGGTAAGAAGTGATGATTTTGCTTCTATCTTTCAATTTTCAGATTTAAAATTGCTTTGCAACTATTATTACCACACTTTTATAAAATGTACAAACAATCTTGAATAACATATATTTACATTATTATTTGTGAATTTTATACCAAGTCCGTCAGCTTTGTTAGCATTGTCCTTGCAGAAGTTAAACTGGTCTTTTTAAAACTCTCCATCTTGAATCATAAATCGTTTAAAAGCACAACGTTTGCTAGTTCATATATCAGATATCTCTTAGAGATGTGTTCATGTGACAAACAGTAATTTTTAGCTAATGTGTTGTTCTTGTGTTAACTGATCTTTAACAGCTGTTTTCTCAAAATGTCATGTTTCCTGTACGCCAAGTCATTTTCCTGGAAGTTATATTCAAAAGGTCAGGTGACGTACCGAGTGTTCCCACCTCCGTGCCGATGGCTTCCACCACAAAGTCAGCACTCTTCCCCACCATGCCAGTCTCCAGACCCGGGCCCCAGGCCCTCACCTTCTGAGGCCCCGCCTCCACACTCACCTGAACCTCGAATGGACTGAAAACACACACAAACAAATTTTTGTAATCCCTTACAGAGTGATTGAAATGAAATATAATGTAGTATTAACACAATTCTCTCACTGCATGCAAAGGCTTAACTGACGGAACATTAGAAGTATTGAAATATAAATATATGTGTTTTTGATTGAAACGGACATTTTAAATATGGGAAAGTTTCATATTTGAATGTTTTAATTAGAAAATATCAAACGTTTAGACATTAAAGTCTCGTATTAAAGCTGAAATTAATTACAGAACTTGTCTTACTTATAAAAAATATATATATTTTACCATAAATAATTTAAGAGCACTTTGCCACAGTTGGTGCCTTTTGAACAACGACTCCAGAATCCTATAACTTGGATTACTGAGGATCTTTATACTGTACACTGATAGCTGGTGTGTTACTAATCAGTTATAGATCAGTTAGACAACACATGTGCAATTATGGATATTCTGATCATGTGTGTTAATGTGCCTCAAAAAGAGACTTTACACACATGAAAAATGTCACTGGAAAAAACTGAATGAACAAATAATATATACATTTTGATCTGACACAGTTTTAACTGTCACTGATAACCCTAAAACTATTTTGATTATATTTTCAAGCAGTAAGTCACTGGTTCCATTTGGACCTTGGGCTTTAGTTATGTGATTGATCCCTTTCACTTTTTCCTCAAACTCTATAGAAAGAACAATTAATTTAAGAAGTAAGGGGCAGATTAATTGATAATGAAAGCAGCTTTATAGAAATAATAAGTTAAGTTTTGTATAAGCTTACATATTTAGAATCGAGCCTAGTCTGCAGCCTCTGGAGTACCTCAAGGGTCTATCCTGGTTCTCCCATATAATTCTGTAGTTACACGGCACCACGTGGCCAAATAATCCAAATATTCACGTACCAAATAAATATTATGCTCCAATATGTTGATGTGTTCTGACAAAAGACATAACACACAATAAAAAATTCCAGATTTAAGTTAAAAAAATAACATATATAAGTTGTTAGATGTAATTAATATGCACTATGTTAAAAGTTAGTTAGTTTAATCTGGTTAAAATAAGCTTTATATATACAAACAGAAATGTATGTGAGCAATTCACTAATCACGAGTCATTATAAACTTTAAACAACTCTAAACTTTCTACTTAGCATGTTACTTTGAGTGATATTGCGTTATATATATACAACTAGCCACTTTTGTGTAAAACCACTGGAGTACCTCAGGGTTCTATCCTGGGTCCCCTATAGTTCAGTAGTTACAGGTCACCACTGACATAAAACTCACAAATTCACATGTAATTTTCAGAAGCTTTCTGTTTCTGTTTAGATGAACGTCATCAGTGTGATAACTAACACAGAAGAATAATTAGCTGATTGTTCTACCTGCGTGGGATGCTGTGTCCTCCCCAGGTGATGGTTACGATGTATTTACCCGTCATGATGGGGTAATAATTACACTCAAATATCCCGTTTTCCATCTCGAGAACCTTCACCGGCTCCTCCAGGCCCTCTGGATTCAAAGCAGAAATATCACCCACAATCAGTCCAGCTCTTTCTCTTCAGTAAAGGTGCATTTCAAACTGATTTCACAACACAGGGCAAATAAAAAGTGGAAATGTGATTTGTATTTTTTGGTTTCAGAGTTGCGCCATCTTACTCGGTCCCTTCACGGTGACTTTGAGCTCTCCGCTGCCGGCTCCTTTAGTGTAAACTTTAAAATCTGCCACTTCTTTCACCCTCAGACCCTTCGGCTGCAGACCTCGGCCCGAAGCTCTGCAGGCGTTCGGGTTGCAGGCTGTAAGGACGGATCAGAAGGAGACGTGGGATGCTGGTTAGACTGGAAGATGATGCTCAAATGATCATGAAACTAACAGAAACATTCACACGAACACGCTCTCCTGTTCTTTTACTTCCTGAGTGGTCCGACACTGAACCCTGAATCAAGACCATCTGACACTCATCAGGGGCCGACGGTCCAGTCCAGGGACTCTGGATTCTGTTTGGAGTTTAAACACTGACTTACACTGAGAGAGGTTATCATGGTGGAGGAAGATGAATTTTAACAACTTTACTCTGTTTAAGAGTTACTAATATGTGCGAACAAAATACTCATCTGTGCTCTTGAATTAGTTGCTGTCTAATCTAAGTTCTTTGTTGATCATAGTCTTACTTTCAGATGAATGAAGCATAACCTTTTTACATTTGAGTAAGAAGTAATGTTTTCTAACAACAAGCGAGCTAAAGTAGCTAGTTATCTACTACGTAGTTTGTGCTGAAAATCAAATGTAAAAACTGTTTGAGAGAAGGTGTTGTTAGGAGGCTAAACACCCGGCTACAGCCAGGCACACATAAAAAGTCTGTTCTGTGTGACAGATGATTAAAAGTACTTCACAAATCTTCATAAAACCGAGTCAGTATGGACTGGGATTTAACGTAGGCCTAGACTAAACCTAACTGTGAACTCTTAACATCTCTAATTCTGAATGTCTTCATTCTAAATCAAAGATTTAATCCTAAACTAACTCTCAAAGTAAAAGCGAGGGTTCATCAACAACTTATAATAGTTAAACAAGAACAAACACACACACACAGACGCTGCTGGATTATCTGTTAGTCAGCTGGTCAGTGCTGAGAGAAGCAGTTTTCTGAGGCTGAAAAGCAAAGATGAAGAGGAAACAAAAGTTTATCAGTTTGAAGGACAACGAGCTCAGAGCTGCTGGATCATGACTTCACCAAGGGAAACAGAATGAAACATGAAGAAATAAATACCCGAAGACAACATGTTTACAACGCTGGTGTACAGACTGTTATTTAAAGCTGAGAAGCACTGCGACATTTCTACACATAAATACTTCATTACAGTTCTCATCCACACATGTGATGCAAAGAAAGAGGAGGGTTATTGATCCGAACAAAAGGAGAGATGAAGCAGACGGAACCCAAACATTCATGTTTTACCAACAAAACAACATAGTTTGAAGAATAGAAACTGCACTAGAGTGTAAAGATGAAGCCCAAACCAACACACACACACACACAAGCCTTCTCTGGATCACGTAAATGTCAGTACTGTAAAACTTTGAATAATAGCCCAGTCCTTTATTTGCTAAAATCACTGAATTGACCCTGCCTTTATTTGGGACAGGCGTTCATATGGGACAGGCCTTTAATTCTTTTTGCACAGAACTGAAACTAATATGAAACAGTTTATTTATTTCAAACAGAATAATACTTATAATAATATATATAATAAATTATCAAATACAAGTCATTCATTTGATCTAGCTCCGACAGACAGCTTATGCACTTTTATTTTGAAGGCAGCAACCTCAGGAGAACAACAACACTGTCCAGGATGAGAGAAGTTCGCAGACAGAGAGCGATGGACTTCACATGACAGGATTCACGACTTGGATCATTTGAAAAGCTGTTTGGATTCTTTTGATGAGTGGAGCCTCACAGACTAAAGGAATATATTAAATAATCAAGGAACGGACACATTCGGACATAACGAGCGGACTTAACGAGCGCTTCAAAGTTAATGTGAGTCAGCACTTTTTCCCCCTTTTCCTCTCTTGTAGCCAGGTTACACCGGTAAATCTAGAACAATTAGACTTTGGGTCTTGTTGTTTCTGTTAAATTAACTTAACAGTGGTATTGTGGAGAATCTAACTGATCTAACAATGTTCAGCATGTCCATACTGACATATTGATCATACGTTTAAACAATAATATTTGTATTAACGATCTAAGCAGCTTAGAAGCAGCTAAAGCAGGCGACCCCGCAGGGTTTAAGAGGTTTAATACATCCAAAGAACTTCTATGAAAATCAGACCAGGCGTTTAATTAAGGCAGGCGTTTATTTGTCAAAATTTGTTCCAACATCAGGCCAGTAAAGGAGGTAGGTGGAAATTTGGGACTCGGCTATAAATTGAAGTTTTATGATAATCTATATCTACTGACTTGGGGCAGCTGTGATAGAGTGGCTTGCCTTTTAATCGGAAGATCGGCGGTTCGATCCCGAGGCTGCATGTCGAAATGTCCTTGGGCAAGATATAGAACCCCAAATTTTCCACCGATGGCTGTTCCATCAGTGTCTGAATGTGTGTGAATGTTATTTCTGTTCTGATGAGCAGGTGGTGGTCGTTTTTTTTAGTACTAGCACCACATGGATCGGATTGGCTCACTTTCAGTAATTTTCAAAACACATTTCATTCAGTGCTAAAAAAGGTACTGAGGTATAACACACATATGTTGCTTAGTGAGGTATTCAGGTATGATTTTGGTGTCAGTGCCATAACTCACGTATTGTATCTACACTATCAAAACATTTCAATTCACTTGCCGCCCAGTTTGAAGTCAGTTTGTTAAAATGATTTTCAGCCTTGGACACAAAATCAATATTGGCCTGTTATATTTTAAACTGAATCGTTTTAGTTTGTAGCCTCAGTCTATAGCATGATAAACTATCACAGACAGTTAGCTACATGGCTAAGCCTACAAAGCATCACTGTACTTTTGAGCCTTTCTGCTACATGTACTGTTATTCTGATGTGTCTGAGGGGTTTTGTATTTTCCCGACAATGAAAATGTTGGACAACAACTTCCATGTACTTGATGCAGCTTCCTCCATTCTCTAGAACATCTAACTTGTGTAATTTGAGCAGAGGTGAATGGAAGAACATAATAAACGGGATAAGTTCCTAAGTTTGCCTGAGGTGATCATCAGTCCTGACACCATCCAGAGAGGGCTCAGCACACCACATTCACTCTGTCTCTGTAGAGGAAGATGAAGCCGCTCAGGACGAAGCAGGAGCTGCACATGCTGTAAAGCTAGGAAACCCCCTCCAGAGGGGCCGGAGACAGGGATGGTTTTGAGTTGAGGTGGAAGGAAACCATGCGAGCGCAGGCAGGCTCCAGTCACACCCCGACCCAGCCTGTACTAACTTGGTCGCCTGGGTTTAGGCGGTGTTGGAGGGGGGCCTCTCCTTGTCTTGTCTGAGGGTGGGGTGCGTGTGCACTGAGGTACAATCTGCACCGGAGACCCCGGAGGTGGGATGCTCTGTGAAACTGAAGGAGGGAACAAAAGTGATGATACAATTGTGCAGCAAAGAGGGGACAGAGACCTCCAGACCACCAGACCAGCAGACAGCAGGACCAGCAGATTACCAGAGCAGCAGGCAGAGGTGGGACCAAGTCTGGTTTGGCAAGTCTAAAGTTGGTCTGAAGTCACTAACACTTTAGTCAAGTCAGGACTGGAGGTCAAGTCACAAGCCCAGACAGGCAAGTCCAAAGTCCTAAGTCAAGTACCAAGTCAAGTTCAGAGTCAGGTCAAAACAGGAATGTCCAAAGGTGAGAAAGGAAATCAAGACAGCAAATCTCAAGATGCTTAATTCAAAATAGGCAGGTCCAGGGTAATATCCATATTCACACATCACACTGGAAAGACCTGAATGAAGACAGTATGTTCCATGTTATGTCCCAAGTCAAAGACATACGAGTCCCAAGTCAAGACAAGCAAGTCCAGCGTCAATTCCCAAGTTGAGTCAAGTCTTATCAAGATAGAAAGTTTCAGTCAAGACAAATAAGTCCCAAGTCCTGTCAGACAAGACGCTACATCAAAGACAGGCAAGGCTAAAGTCAAGTCCATCCAAATGTCCATTCCTTGGCCCCGTCTGTCCAACTGTCCGACTCTGATAACAGCCCACACCTCTGCCACAAGACCAGCGGAGCACCAATGAGCAGACCGGACACTGCAGCCCAAAACCATGACAGCAAACAGCTTCAGCCAAAAAAAACCCCAGTACTGTTGAGCAAGCACCAACTGTCCCATCAGACCCGGACCCAGACTGAACTGCAGATTTCACACTGTTCATACTGGAAAACTTTTAGTTTAGTTCAGTCTGGACATCAGATTTCAATGTGACACTCTGATTAGTAACAGATGCTGACGGGCGGGAGATTGTTCATATTAGATGATGAACTACATGAAGTCAGAATATCTGCAAGTCTCAGGTTCTTGTTCAAGTTACATGGAAATCCATTTATAACACAAGTATGGATGTATTTCAACATTAAACTTTGTAAGGAACCATCTAGAACAAAAACATGGTCAGGACTGTCCGGTGTGGTGGACACACATGTGTAAGGCCTACCCTCTGAGATGTGGACGGTGAAAGGGCTTCTGGGAATCTGCTGCCCAGCAAAGGTCACATAGACGGTGTGGGGCCCCTCCAGGACGGGAACATAGGTGCAGCGGAAAATACTGTCGCCTTTGTTCTCCAAGACAATCTCCACTGTATCCCTCCGACCGTTTGAATCCACAATGATGACGCCTACATCTCCAGCACCCGCCCCTGGTGGACAGACAGACAGACAACAAGACTCTCAAACCCTGAAAGAAGAATGTGATGCTCACTGGATCAGGACCGCACAGACTGAAGCGTTGCAGCTCTACTGCGAGTGTTATAACTGAGGGGTGAGATATTCTCCACCTGCGGTACGATGGAAGTAGAAACCTAAATCACTGATTAGAAAAAGATGCTGGAGAAACAATTTCAGTCAGTCTGTCGGAGGTCTATCTGTATGGTAACAGCTTCAGTATTCATGAGTTTCAGTTTGAGGGATTACCTGCAGTGTAAATGTCAAAGTATGTCGGTTTGTTGGCCACATTTCCAGTCGACTGCAGTCCCGGCCCGCGGGCCTGAACTCTGCTCGGGTCGCCCATGGCCTTCGAAATGTTCACCATGAAGGGACTTCTGTCGATGTCCTGCCCAGCAAACAGCACTTTCACCTGGAAGGATCAGTAACGCAGAGCCCGGTCAGGGTTTCTGATGGGTCACTCATGGCTCTAACAAACCAAATCTATAATCTAAATCATAAAACCTTTTTTTTCTTAACATTTTTAGAGTAAAGTACGTTTGAGGTAGATGTTCTGATGATTCCTTAAAAAGAAGAAGGAACATTTTGAAAGCATGACTGACTAGTTCAATCAAGCGGAGCTGTCATGCCACAAGGAGTTTTGTAAGGAGCAAGAGGGGATAACCTGAAGGTGACACTGTCCAAACTGAAACGTATTGTTTCTTTAACAAGCATACAAGTACCAGTTCAGGTTACCCAGACTTCATTTATGAACATAAGAGTTATTGAGACATTGTGGATTTGGATTCATCAGTGGCGTAAAGTTGATTGTAGACTAACATGTTGGCTTCATTATAATCTCCTCCTGTCATTAGAAAAGTATAAAATACCAACCCACTGACTTAAGTGTCGGACCTAAAATTGGGTCCAGAGCCTAAAAAGAGTTAAAACTTTTAACTGAATTTGATCCAAAAGGGAATCCCTAAATGGTTCCAATTTTCACCCAAATAGATGAAGTGTCCTAGGACCTCTAACAGGATCTGTTGGCGAGTCCATTGAACCTAAAGTGCTGCAAAGATTTGTCAGACTGGAGAGATTGGACAGATATCTCATGACCAAGTTACATCATGTGGGCTGTGTTGGAAACGGGCTAAACTGCTGACTCAGAAGGTGTCTATCAGGACAGCGAGGCATCAAGTGCTTTTCGAAACGTCTCAAACGATCTCTTCCTGTTTCCTGAGAAGCCTTCAAGCTGCCCCAGTAACGGCTAGTTTTGATGCAGCCTATTACCCATAAAACAGCGCGGCTACAGCCGCCGTAGCTCTCGTAAACTGGTTAAGACGGCGGACAAACAAGCCGAATTCGTACACAAATTAAACAAATTAAAAGTTTTTAGTAGTTTTCTTGCTTTGATTTTTGAAAATTTAGCGAGAACTAAACACTGAACTATAATATCAGCCCATGACTGTAACCAACCAAGTTTGTTCAGTATGATTTCTGAGGCATCTGTTAGCTGTTTGGCTTTTCATTCAGCTGATGCTAAGGCTAGCGTCTCTTCCGACAGCCAGAAGAGACGCCAGACGGCGTGCTGATGTCACGCGTTGCTATAAGTGCTGCCCTAGAAGGCTCTTCGAAAACAATGTAAACAGAGCTGCCTTCACTTGAAAGTGATGCCTTCTGAGGCAACTGCCTTCTGTTCCGAACACAGCCGTGATGGCACACGAGCAGCTCCATTCGCTAAAGAAGACCACGTGATGTAGTTGAAAGCTCTGAAAGCTAGCGACCTCTGTGCTATATGATTTGGACCTTTTAAATATTTCTTCCACTGATGTGTCTTACTTTATGAAGCCCCTCCACTTTGGGCAGGTAGACCACGGAGTAGGTTCTGTTCTTGTCGTTGTTGGGGATCACCCGGGCCTGAAGGGGACAGAAAGACAAAACGTCTCAGTTGTGTTTCACTTTGTTGCGTTTGACTGAATCTACCAAGAGTGTGTGTTCCCACCTCCTCTGTGTGTCCCTCTGGATCTTCCACATAAACCAGAACCTCACCCAGTCCAGCCTCCACTGTCTCCACCAGAAACTCAGCTGGTTTCAGAACCACGTTACCTCGAGGCTCAATACCTGAGAGACGCGTGAAAGGAAGGAAGGAAAGAGACATGAGACCATGAAACTACAGGATTGTGTTGCAAAATGAACATTTTGCAAATTTTTTTGCAGTTCTCCAGATAAAACCACTGCTCTGCCACTGTTTAAAAAAATTAAACCATTCTAGCAGGGAAACAGCTGCTGGTTTTAACTTGAAGCCAATAAAATTTAATCTGATCAGTTTTGGGGTGGACTTTGGTGCTGTGTTTGTTCCTCACCGGGTCCGTAGGCTTTGGCCCTCTTCGGGTGCAGGGTCTTCGCCCTCAGTGGGGCGCCGGGCTTCAGTTTAGATTTGGGGAACTGAGACAGGTAGGTCATCACAGAGTGCTCGTCCACGTTCGGGTCAACGATCTCCTCTGGAGCGATCACCTGAAGATGAATGATGATACGAACACATGATGAGCACACAAACTGCTGCAGATCATCCCGCTAATAAACAAGAAACCGGTTCCTTCCAAAAACACATCAAAGACTCTTTTTAAATGGAACCAGGACAGTTTTTATTAGCAAACCATGTAAAACTGCTTCGCTGATCTGATTGTCTCAGTCCAAAATCACTGATGGAAGAAAAACTGGAGACTAAAGACAGAAAATAGAAGTTCATCATTTTAACGAGACCAAATAATGGAGGAATGAGTCTGAGCTGGTGAACGCATCAAAGGTCTTTAAATGTTTAACAGCTGCTCCTTTAATGGATTCTGTTGTTCATTAGCACAGCAGTTTTTAAATACCAGCATACCACTAGTACCAGCATCAGCAACACTGTGTCCAAATACTACTTCTATAATAAGCCTTGCATCTGAATTTATTACATTTATTTATTTAGCTGACGCTTTTATCCAAAGCGACTTACAATTACTATACATGTCAGAGGTCGCACGCCTCTAGAGCAATGAGTGTCTTGCTCACGGACACATTGGTGTCTCGCAGTGGATTTGAACCCGGTCTCTCACACCAAAGGCATGTGTCTTATCCACTGCTCCATCAACACCCCTGACATACAAGTATAAAAGTAGAACGAGTATTTTTGTTTATTATTTTTTATATATATCTTTATAAGTAACACATTCAAAAGGCATGAAGTCGAGCTATAAAAGAAGCACAAGGCAATATAAAAAAGAAACATTTAGGGATTTCTATACAGAAATAAAATTAGTTGAAATTGACGTTGAGCACTGACGAGTAATTTTTCTTTTTCTGGACCAAAAACAATGATTTCAGTGTTTACCTTTGTTTAACTACAAGAATGTTTGTGATGTAAACCTGTGCATCATCTGCACACTGATGTTCAGATATTTGGGTGTTTCTATCAGGAGCGTGTAGATGTTGAACAGAAGAGGACCGAGAACGGAGCCTTGGAGAACACCACATTACACAACATATTATTGAAACTATAGCTTCATAACACTGCCAGCTGCCTCAAACTCCAATAGTGTGCCACATTTTATTTTATATTACTGAGGGCACTGATGGCTCTATATATATATATATTTATAAATATATTTACACCCAGTATGTTTAAATTGGACAACTTTTAAAGGATTCTGCTTTTCTGCATCGCTCTACTGCACATACAGCTCTTCGTATTAAAATCCATTTACATTGATATTCATTTTTAAATATTTGTAATATATTTCCTGTTTTTACTTTAATTGAATTACTTTGTTGTTGATTTAGATTTTGTTTATTTGGTGCTTTAATGCAGTTAGTTTTATGCCTCCTGACTGAAAATGCAACGGGGACAATGCCAACAAAGTTCTCCTAAATCTGAATTGGATTCTTGTCAGTGTGGAAAAAGCTTTGAAACAGCATTTGCACCTTTCCGCTGGGGAATATAATGTACAGAGTGAATAACTGAACAAATTCAATATGAATTTTATTAAAATAATCTTTAAAATGTTAATTATTTTTGGTAAAATCTTCTGAGGGTGCTGACGTCATGACCTCAGTGTTTCTTCAGAACCATTCCCTTAAAAAAAGAGAGTAAAGCTAACGAAGTCTGACTTTAACTGTGGGTTTATCTCACGTTTACTGTGCCCCAGTGTCTTCCTAGCTTCTGATTGGTTAGTTTAACCACATGTCATAGAAAGTGTCGTTTCCAGTAATAATCCAGACCGTTAACAGAACAAATGTCTCAAAACAAAAGATCTGAAAATCTGAAATCTAAAAACATCTGCTTCACTTGTTGTAGCTCTTAAAAACACATCATCATTTCTCACACAGGAAGGTCGTCTAAAGATGGAAACTATGACTTTATGACTTTAACGAGTCAACAGCTAACAGTCGTTCATCATCCACAGTTTGTGTTTCGTCCTCCACTCTGCTGCTAATTTAAACTGCTGGCTGCAGGATCGCTCCGCAGGCTGGAAATAGACCAGAGCGCCATCCAACACGTGTGAAAGGAAAGTTCCTGATGCCGCCTGTTGCATCACAGCACAGCTAAAGACTGATTACACAAACACTGACATCATATCATTTGTCTCCTTCAGTTTGTTTAAGCATTTCAGCAACTGAATGAGTTTGAACATTATAAACTAATAGTTGGCGGATAAGTTATAGGCAGATTTAAGTGTTGTTTTACACTTTAATATATTCAAATTTGACTCTCTTTTAAAATGTGTAATACAGTTTGAACAATTGCTACAGGTTTAAAGGGATAAATGAACTTTACTGAAGTAATAGCTTTCAGAGTAATAAACAAAGAGAAAAACATTTGGAGAATAAGGACAAAAACTACAATTTTAAGCCGATAAATACAGAAATAAGGCCATCGTGTTGGGAAATAGTTTAGTAGAACATTTAACTAAATAAATAAATCTTTTTGTTTTTGTTGTTAAGATTTTCAGCAGCGTGGGGAGACGTAGGACAAATCCTGCCAACAGCACTGCAGAGAAACCTCTATATTATAAATGTTCCCTTTGAGATTATGTTAAAATAATAGAATAGAATAATATAAGAGTGATATAATATAATAGTCCTCGATGCTTTCTGTAATTGGCTGTGGTTTTGTTTGGGTGGACTCAGGATCAGGTGAGTGTTACCTGTGGCACTCCGAGCCAGTCGTCAGCCTGCTGCATGGCCTCTCTGGCGTTCTCCACCGGCTGACTGGGATCCCATGTCTCCCAGTCTGGACAAAGACCTGAAGGCAGCACAGCGAGACGCTGGAGTTCAGTTTCACCAAATCTAACCTGTGCTGTGCGAGCTGAGATACCTCAACGTGATTTCAGCCTGAACTTAAACATCTGAATCCCTTTCAGCTGAACTGTCATTATCTCTTCAGCTGCTTTCTGTAATTTAAATGCAACTTCATCCACACTTTAGCTTTTTTAAAACAGTAACTGGTTTTAAAAAAGTAACTGCTTCATCGCCTCTGTTAAATATTAATTAATTAATTGTCAGAGTTCTGGATCTGTACGTACCAGGGGCGCAGTTGTCCACCAGGGCTCCCAGCGCCTTGCCGTCCCTCCAGTCTCTGTGGAAGTTGGTGATGGGGAGCTGGGGAACCTTGTTCTGGATCCAGCCCAGCAGACGCTGTTTGGGGGTCAGTTTCTTGGCGTCTTCGTCGTCCTCGTCCTCCCACATGGGCATGGAGATGGAGTAGTGCAGGATCAGGGTCCATATGAGGCCCAGGATCAACTTCAGGTTCCCGTCCACGATGGCTTTAGAGTCTGAGGGACAGACGGGGAAACAGGTTAGCTAGCGGCTGAGGACGAGAGTCACACACATGACAAAGGGGAGGATTTATCACGACGGGAATAAATCTGTCAGACGATGAAGCCGGTTTTCATCACTTCTACGAGCTTATTTTGTGTGTGAAGCCTAAGATGCTGGTGATCGCTACACGTCCAGTATCAGTACCTGCGTAGTCTACATCTCACCGGCTTTATTAGTTTAAGGTCCTTATGGAGGCCTTAATGTGGTTTCTCTGGGACTCGAGTCTTTTGGTTTGTTGAAAGCTGCGTGTAAACACCAAAGGAAGCTGTGCGCTCTTACAATCCGACAACATCACTAATCAGATCTTCTCCTAACTCTGCAGGTGGTTATTCCAGTCAGAGAGAGATTATCAAACATGAATTACAGGTCTGCACCTTCACTGAGCACCTCTACAGAAAAACCTTTATTTATCCGTGAGGAGCTTCTTTTGTGCAGAGCATCGGTGCACGAACCAGCAGTATACAGCAGGATGCACCACGCACGTCACAAAACAAAGTAAGTGAAGCTCGCAAAGCTCAATAAAGTCATGATGAAGAGGTGAAAGGGAGAGAGAGTGGCGGGTGGTTCTGCACATGGAATCCTCAGCATCAACGTACAACATCAAATCAAATCCAACGTGTTTATACAGTTTCAAACGACCAACGGGCTGCACAAAGGAACAACAATCATATAGAAATGCTCGCTCAGCAAATGAAAACTGACTCAGAAGGCCGCCTGCAGTGCATCATGGGAGGTCAAATATTCTCAGGTTTAGCTAATGCTGCATTCATGATCAGCAGGAACAGGAAACCCAACACCTGGGAGTGCTGATAAGGAGTACTGGTACTATATAAATCCTAAATTTACTCTCTGTTTTTACGGGAGCAGTGGCCCCGCTGGGCAGGACCCGGGGCCAACTCCAGATCTGAACCTAACATGTTTCTGATGGGGGGAACCGGAGCAGCTGCAGGAAACCCACACAGAAAGGCTTCTTTCGGGACCGTCTTACTATGACGTAACAGCGGTACCCACTGCACCACCCAGGATGCATTATTCCAGGACGGTCACGCCGACAGTGAGCTTCAAAAACACCCTGAATGTCTGGGAGGAGTCAACAAGCGGATGCAAACTTATATTAGCTGTCACTGACGGAGGCTTTGCAGCCGTTAGGCCTCCAGTGAGATCCTGAAGCTGAAAGCAGGTATGTGGACCTGATGATGGAGGACTCTGAACCACGTTCCATCACAGTCCACCCAACAGCTGATGAGGCGCTTCAGTCTGGACCAGCGTGGAGGACGGACAAACGCCATCGTCTATAAAAAGGCTGCTTTTACTGTCATTTGTTATTTTCAAGTGTTTTAGTTTCAGCTCTGATTGTCAGCAGCCTGCAGCTTGGAGCGCTCACCGAGACTCAGGCTGAACTGTTTGGATAAGGAAAGTGCGGCCAATTAGGAGCCAGTAAACTTATGTGGTTTCGTTCCATCTCAGCTCTTCTAATGTTTTGTGATCAGCTCGCGTGACCCGCTTTCCTGTTCTGTTCTTGAGATTTTAGATCCCACCGCCAAAATAAGAGTTCTTGGCTTCACGTTGTTTATCTTTTGGGCTGACGGGAGACTTGTTTTAATGTGAAGGTTTCATCCGTCGACAGCAGCGAGCAGATCTGCGGCAGGATGAAGTCATGCGGCCCCCGGTCTGAGGGATGAGGTCACTTTAAATGGGAAACACATGCACACACACACAAATACACACAGTAACGCACACGTCCAGGAATCTGAGGGAGGACTGAGTCGAACACTAGATTGTTTGACCAACTTTTAGTCCGATGACTCTTTCTCTCTGTTTAATATAGAAACACACACACAGCTAAAGGTTTAGTCCCGCCTCTGACTCACTTCACTTCTTTCTCTGGAGCGAGTTCATCGAGCTTTCACCACATCAACTCGAACTTTAAAACAGACCAATGGAAACCTCATGTTCCCCGTGAGGCACGTTAAACCAACACAGTTACAGCTTCTGATGGATCGACCAATCAGGAGGCACGCCGGGAGCAGAGAAAACACTCGTAAATCACCCGGGTGGATCTGGCAGATTGTTGGACGAGTTAGAAAGAGTTGGTGGGAGCTGTTTACTCAGACACCTGCTGATCAGGACGGAGCTCCAGCTGACGCTTCTCTTACTTTCACCTCTCAGAGCTCCAGACCAGCTGACTGCTTTCAGCTTTCAGCTCATCAGGGCTTCATCGTGTTATTCAGGGCTTGTACCAGAACAGTTGACGTGGTTTCATTCATGTGTTTGTCAGACTGCTCATCGCTGCAGCACCCTGTGTGTTGAACGCTCCGTTTTAGCTGCAGAGTGAAGCATCTCACTTCTGTCAGATCTCTGTTAGGAGTCGCACATGTGCAGCTTTTAGGTAAGGACTACCAGCCAATCAGAAGCAGAGTAGGGCGGGTCCTGACAACCAAGTTAGTGTGATCCGAAACAAAGCCGCTCCAGCAGATAAGCACAGCTTCGGTCCAGCCGTACATGTTGGAGCCCGAGTCCGATCCCGGAACACAAGCAGAACGACCAGAACCAGCTTCAGAACCGCCCCGGGTTCCCTTTAGAGCCCTTTTTGCACCGTAGGGCTCCGTGGTCACGTTAGCAAGACTAAAGATTCAACGACTTGCAAATTAAACTTGTGGTTAAGGTTGTAAAACTTTGTGAAAAGGTTTAGGCACAAAAAGAACTCTGTTAGGTCATGGTTTGGGCATAACAACAGTAAATGTTTACACGGGAAAGAAACACCGTCTTTTGTAGTATTTACATTCATTCATTTAGCCGACGCTTTTATCCAAAGCGACTTACAATTGCTATACATGTCAGAGGTCGCACGCCTCTGGAGCAACGAGGGGTTAAGTGTCTTGCTCAGGGACACAGTGGTGGACGGGTCACAGTGGGGGATTGAACCCGGCTCTCTCACACCAAAGGCAGGCGCCTTATCCACTGGCACCATCACCACCCCTACCTGTTCACCTTAACCGCCTCCTTATTCGGCCTTTACTTATTTATATTATACACCTACCTTAGCGTTCAAAAACGACGCTACAGAGCTTCCCAGAACATTACAAACTGATGCCAAGCGGGTCATGACCGTGCATCCATATGAGACGACTTGGGTCGGGTGGACGGTGCATCAGAAACCGGACCCAGGAGAGTGTTGAATCATTTTAGTGACACAAACTATGATCTTTTCCTCAACATAACCAAATTGCGACGTTTCCCAACGTCAACCACTGGTTTTTAGGCCTGTCCCCGACCGAAGGGTTAACATAGTCGAATCATGTGTGCTTTTGTGCATGGGGATTGTGAGCCGAAGTTAACTGAGGCTTACTGTTGACCATCTTTCTCTCTCTCACCTGCCATTCACCGTTCTTCTGAGTTTTACTGCTGACAGCTGCGTGCACGTCACGGTTCCTCGCGGATCTATTTCAAGCAGCCAGCTGATTAAAAACGATAAAATATTCTTTGTGTGGTTCATCAACATTGATAAATTATCCGAAAGTCCCGCGAGGTGCCGACAACTCGGCACAACACCAGTGAAGCTGGAGCTCCGTCTCTTCAGCAAGTGTTCCTCCTGCCACTACCTCCACGCACTGACGCCCCAGGGTTAGGTTACAATTTTGGATTTATTCACGCACTTTAAAAACAGTAATTGAAAGTTTTATTCTTTTTACATGTTTATTTACAGTATTAAACGTTGTATATTGTAACAGGCTGTATATTAACTTATTGGTATGTAAAATCAGACGTTGAGCTCCCCCATAAGCTGAGAAGCTTCGACAGTGAGATTGAGGCTCAGATTCAGGCTCATCGCCAATCGAAGCATCGAATCTTCGACTATTTGGGGTCAGCCCTACTGGTTTTATTTTGAAAGTCTAACTGGACGCTGCATGTTTATCGTTACTAACTTCACCGCAGTGCCCTATATGTCAACAAACAACACCAAGGGGTAACCAGGGCGTTAAAAAGCAACGCCAAGGACTCTGACCAAGTGTCTGACCATATGTGAGGGGACCGAGGTGGAGTGTGTGACATGTCTTCCTCATGTTACGGGGACATCACATGGTGTGGCTCGCCTCGCGAGGCCTCAGCGGAGGGGGAACGTCCTGGCCTCTCAGGGTGTAATCATGTGGTCTCCCCTCCGGGCCGCGACCGGGGTTACCCTGTCGGGGTCAGCTCAGGGTTAGTTTCCTCTGAAGTGATGGAAACCCGGCCGTGTGAGTGTGTTTTCACTCTCATGACTTCATGTTTTCCTCTCCGAGCTCAGACGGCAGGAAGCTCGGTGACCACAGATTAGAGTCGGCTCGGGATTCGGAGCGTCGCTGTAATCTTTCCCCAGGAAACAGGAGCTGCTGCAGATTGTTTGTTCTCCTCTCACGTTGTCTCTCTTGTCCTGGTCAGCTGATCCCAGAACAGATTTAGTGAAGCGTTTTGATTTTCAGCCAACACACACTTTGTTGTTTCAGCGTTTGCACGCTGCTGGAAAGGGACTGTGCTAAATCTGAGGTACTTTACTCAAGTATTTTCATTTCATGCTGCACATTTTGTTCTTTTCACTCCACCCCGTTTATTTTCAAGGTTTAGTTACTTTGCAGATTCTGGTTATTAAAACAAAATATAATCAAAGATGCAGAAAGTTTGCAAAGACGAGGAAAGTTCAGAATCCAAAGATATAAACTGCTCATGTCTTGTGACCCTGCAGAGACGCCGTACTCTGCAGCAGAGCAGGACTGGTGTTCTGCCAAACACCTTCTGAGCTGCAACAACAACAAGGCGTCTGTCTGAAACACCACCCGTCCCGTTCGGTAACGCCCTCCGACAGCCACAGCGGCGAGCGGACACGCTCTCTGGTTGCCAAGGGTTACCAAACAAACAAGCAAAAGGTCGCCCTGCTGCGGAGAAACAATGGAGTCCTGATAGAAAGGCTGCGTCTGTG